CTCTCTCTGGTCTCTCTCTGGTCTCTCTCTGGTCTCTCTCTCTCTCTGGTCTCTCTCTGGTCTCTCTCTCTCTCTGGTCTCTCTCTCTCTGGTCTCTCTCTCTCTGGTCTTTCTCTGGTCTCTCTCTGGTCTCTCTCTGGCCTCTCTCTGGTCTCTCTCTCTCTGGTCTCTCTCTCTCTGGTCTCTCTCTCTCTGGTCTCTTTCTGGTCTCTCTCTCTCTGGTCTCTCTCTGGTCTCTCTCTGGTCTCTCTGGTCTCTCTGGTCTCTCTCTGGTCTCTCTCTGGTCTCTCTGTTAAAAGTGAAACAGAATCTCAGAGTTAGTGGTAAATTCTCTAAGTTTCTGCCTTCTTGCCTTTTGCCTACAGTTGTATATATGTGAAGAGATTATAAACTCATTATCACTTCTATTTGGACAAAGCCACAGATGCTAATTGTAAGCTAGTGTTCTATTTTTGGTTTTACACATGCTCTGTGGCGTGACCCCTCCCTCTTGTACCCTGAACTGTGTTTTTGCCTGGAATTCTTGCACATTCCTCCCGCCTGCGCTCGTCAGTCCCTTCTTCCTCGACTTTCATCTTTGTGTGACATGTGGCTGAGTTGACAGAGTTCAGGAAACCCGCACTGTACCTTCCCAATCAGACACAACAATAGTTTTAGGACCCAGGGGAGTTCTTTTATGTCTGACGGAAACGCGTGGCTTTGAGGAACAATGAGCTAATGCCGCGGACGCACAACACGCAACGCACACCTGTGATCCTCGTTGAGTCGTCGCACAATCAGACACGCAGCTTCTGGACACACACTGGACCCTGGTTATAAGTCTCCATTCCCCAGTTCTCAGTGTGTGGTTAACATCTACGTCAATCTGCTGTGGTTGCCGTGGTTACTCTGATGGCACTTTCTTTTAGTGGTAGTTCTTTCATTGCAAAGAGCCTGAAGTTCCTTTAAATTCCTGGGCTGCCTTGCATGAACTGCACTTTTGCAATGTGGCTCTGTATGTGGTTCTGATATTGCACATTCTGAGATTATTCAGATCATTTCAAGAGGAACATGTGGACTAGATCAGGGGTGCTCACACTTTTTCAGCATGCGAGCTACTTATAAAAGGATCAAGTCAAAATGATCTACCTACTACAAAAATGCAAATCATATATTTCAAAAAATATTCTTTATATCTACAATGTATGTTTATGTACATGCAAAACTGCATGAGCCAATATAGCACAACACAACACAATTACCTATGTACATTTTTTGTCATTACCCGAGTTTACTCTGATGACTTGCACTGAATTGAATCGGCCAGGGATGCATAGTCCGGAAAATTGGTGGTAACTCGCTGACAAGTTTGTCGGGGTTTAGCTTTCCTGCACTGAGCGCGGTTGTTTGCGCATGTGCAGTCACCTAAGTGTCAGTAAAACATTACTGAGTAAAACACAGATGTCATTTGACTGTGGTGCCTATCCATTAGTAGTAGTATCTATCCATTCATCTAGTCCAGGGGTGCTCAATACGTCGATCGCGATCTACCAGTCTATCGCAAAGGTAGTATTGGTAGATCGCATGAAATAAATAAAAAATTACACATTCTAAACGAATATATACAAAAAACTCCGGGCAAAGTGGAGATTTTTGAAAACTCCGTTAATGCATTTGTGTGTAGACAGAGATAACCAGAGTTTTGCGTTCTCGCACGCCACAGTACCCCCCTAAATTATTAATTACTTATTACTTACTTACTACGTACTTACTTATTACTTACTTACTTACTACTTACTTACTTACTTGATCCCCCGTAGGAGAAGACTTATCCAGACTCATCCAGGTTTGTTGTACAGTCTGACAGCCGAAAGAACAAAGGATTTCTTTAAACGTTTCATTTGGCAGCGCAGCGCTAGGAGCCTGTTGCTATAGTTACTCCTCTGAGCGTCTTCATGCATCTTCATTCAAGCCTATCTGACTGCCTTAAAGCCAGATTTTCTGATGACACAAGAAAAATTATCTTGTTTTAAAATGCATTTGTCCCTTGGATTGAGAAAATAAAGCATTAGTTCTTGAATTAAGTCTAAATGGATTTGTCTCGTTGGTAGATCTTGTCATAAACGTCAGAATGTGCTTAAATTAAGATAAAAACACTGGATTCTAGCGTTTATTACCTCATTGTATCATTTTAGCAGCGTATCTGAGTGTGTGTTTGTGTACTGAGTGTGTACTGAGTGTGTTTGTGTACCGAGTGTGTACTGAGTGTGTGTGTGTGTACTGAGTGTGTGTTTGTGTACTGAGTGTGTACTGAGTGTGTGTTTGTGTACTGAGTGTGTACTGAGTGTGTGTTTGTGTATTGAGTGTGTGTTTGTGTACTGAGTGTGTGTTTGTGTACTGAGTGTGTACTGAGTGTGTGTTTGTGTACTGAGTGTGTGTTTGTGTACTGAGTGTGTACTGAGTGTGTGTTTGTGTACTGAGTGTGTACTGAGTGTGTGTTTGTGTACTGAGTGTGTACTGAGTGTGTGTTTGTGTACTGAGTGTGTACTGAGTGTGTGTTTGTGTACTGAGTGTGTGTTTGTGTACTGAGTGTGTGTTTGTGTACTGAGTGTGTACTGAGTGTGTGTTTGTGTACTGAGTGTGTACTGAGTGTGTGTTTGTGTACTGAGTGTGTACTGAGTGTGTGTTTGTGTACTGAGTGTGTACTGAGTGTGTGTTTGTGTACTGAGTGTGTACTGAGTGTGTGTTTGTGTACTGAGTGTGTACTGAGTGTGTGTTTGTGTATTGAGTGTGTACTGAGTGTGTGTTTGTGTACTGAGTGTGTACTGAGTGTGTGTTTGTGTATTGAGTGTGTACTGAGTGTGTGTTTGTGTACTGAGTGTGTACTGAGTGTGTGTTTGTGTACTGAGTGTGTACTGAGTGTGTGTTTGTGTTGAGTGTGTACTGAGTGTGTGTTTGTGTACTGTGTGTACTGAGTGTGTGTTTGTGTACTGAGTGTGTACTGAGTGTGTGTTTGTGTACTGAGTGTGTACTGAGTGTGTGTTTGTGTACTGAGTGTGTGTTTGTGTACTGAGTGTGTACTGAGTGTGTGTTTGTGTACTGAGTGTGTACTGAGTGTGTGTTTGTGTACTGAGTGTGTACTGAGTGTGTGTTTGTGTACTGAGTGTGTACTGAGTGTGTGTTTGTGTACTGAGTGTGTACTGAGTGTGTGTTTGTGTACTGAGTGTGTACTGAGTGTGTGTTTGTGTACTGAGTGTGTACTGAGTGTGTGTTTGTGTACTGAGTGTGTACTGAGTGTGTGTTTGTGTACTGAGTGTGTACTGAGTGTGTGTTTGTGTTTGTGTACTGAGTGTGTGTTTGTGTACTGAGTGTGTACTGAGTGTGTGTTTGTGTACTGAGTGTGTACTGAGTGTGTGTTTTGTGTACTGAGTGTGTACTGAGTGTGTGTTTGTGTACTGAGTGTGTACTGAGTGTGTGTTTGTGTACTGAGTGTGTACTGAGTGTGTGTTTGTGTACTGAGTGTGTACTGAGTGTGTGTTTGTGTACTGAGTGTGTACTGAGTGTGTGTTTGTGTACTGAGTGTGTACTGAGTGTGTGTTTGTGTACTGAGTGTGTACTGAGTGTGTGTTTGTGTACTGAGTGTGTACTGAGTGTGTGTTTGTGTACTGAGTGTGTACTGTGTGTGTGTACTGTGTGTACTGAGTGTGTGTTTGTGTACTGAGTGTGTACTGAGTGTGTGTTTGTGTACTGAGTGTGTACTGAGTGTGTGTTTGTGTACTGAGTGTGTACTGAGTGTGTGTTTGTGTACTGAGTGTGTACTGAGTGTGTGTTTGTGTACTGAGTGTGTACTGAGTGTGTGTTTGTGTACTGAGTGTGTACTGAGTGTGTGTTTGTGTACTGAGTGTGTACTGAGTGTGTGTGTTTGTGTACTGAGTGTGTGTACTGAGTGTGTGTTTGTGTACTGAGTGTGTACTGAGTGTGTGTTTGTGTACTGAGTGTGTGTTTGTGTTATGAGTGTGTACTGAGTGTTGTGTACTGAGTGGTGTGTGTGTTTGTGTACTGAGTGTGTACTGAGTGTGTGTTTGTGTACTGAGTGTGTACTGAGTGTGTGTTTGTGTACTGAGTGTGTACTGAGTGTGTGTTTGTGTACTGAGTGTGTACTGAGTGTGTGTTTGTGTTGAGTGTGTACTGAGTGTGTGTTTGTGTACTGAGTGTGTACTGAGTGTGTGTGTACTGAGTGTGTACTGAGTGTGTGTTTGTGTGTTGAGTGTGTACTGAGTGTGTGTTTGTGTACTGAGTGTGTACTGAGTGTGTGTTTGTGTACTGAGTGTGTACTGAGTGTGTGTTTGTGTACTGAGTGTGTACTGAGTGTGTGTTTGTGTACTGAGTGTGTACTGAGTGTGTGTTTGTGTACTGAGTGTGTGTTTGTGTATTGAGTGTGTACTGAGTGTGTGTTTGTACTGAGTGTGTGTTTGTGTACTGAGTGTGTACTGAGTGTGTGTTTGTGTACTGAGTGTGTACTGATGTGTGAGTGTGTACTGAGTGTACTGAGTGTGTACTGAGTGTGTGTTTGTGTACTGAGTGTGTACTGAGTGTGTGTTTGTGTTTGAGTGTGTACTAGTGTGTGTGTGTTTGTGTACTGAGTGTGTGTTTGTGTAGAGTGTGTGTTTGTGTTGTGTATGGTGTGTACTGAGTGTGTGTTTGTGTACTGAGTGTGTACTGAGTGTGTGTTTGTGTACTGAGTGTGTACTGAGTGTGTGTTTGTGTACTGAGTGTGTACTGAGTGTGTGTTTGTGTACTGAGTGTGTACTGAGTGTGTTTGTGTATGAGTGTGTACTGAGTGTGTGTTTGTGTACTGAGTGTGTGTTTGTGTACTGAGTGTGTGTTTGTGTATTGAGTGTGTACTGAGTGTGTGTTTGTGTACTGAGTGTGTACTGAGTGTGTGTTTGTGTACTGAGTGTGTACTGAGTGTGTGTTTGTGTACTGAGTGTGTACTGAGTGTGTGTTTGTGTGCTCCTCAGATGAGCGAGAGGCCGTGCAGAAGAAGACTTTCACCAAGTGGGTGAACTCACACCTGTCCCGGGTCTCCTGCCGGATCACAGACCTCTACATGGACCTGAGGGACGGCCGCATGCTCATCAAGCTGCTGGAGGTGCTGAGCGGGGAGAGGCTGGTGAGTCCGAGTCTGAGTCTGAGGCAGGTCTAAGTCTGAGTCTGAGGCCTGAGTCTGAGGCAGGTCTGAGTCTGAGTCTGAGGCAGGTCTGAGTCTGAGGCAGGTCTGAGTCTGAGGCAGGTCTGAGTCTGAGGCAGGTCTGAGTCTGAGGCAGGTCTAACCCCCCGACTCCACCGGGCGCGTCTCCGTTGACGCGCGTTGGCTGCTGTCCGTCAGCCGTCCGTAAAACGGACCAGTGGTCAAACCGGCTGCAGCAGCAACTCTGGCTGTGCGTTTATCAGCCTGCTTTATTTTTGTAGGAGACATGTTTGGGCATTGTGTGAATGAATGAATGTTTGGCTGATGGAGGAGTTATGTATTGTCGGCGTGCATGTGTGCGTGAGCGTGTGCGTGAGAGCGCCCGTGTGTGTGTGTGTGTGTGTGGTGGGAGGCGTGTGCGTGCATGTGTGTTTGGGTCTGTGACTGCAGCGTTTATTATGATCCAGCCTCTTCGTTTGTTTTCTACTTATTTAGCGCATGATACACTTTTATCGGAGCCAACTCGCCTCTCCGCGGCTTTAGGCAACAGGCAGAGCTATAGTTTTAAATAGAAGAAGCGGTGTGTGATGTGCATGAGCTGTGGCTATGATCAGTGCAAAGCACGGCATTGAAGCATTGAGGACGTCGCGATGGATGAGGCAAAACTTATTGAAAGCAATTGGAAAAAGGGGAGAGAGAAAAGAACTCCAACATATCCAGTGTTGTGAGATCTGTCTCTCATAAGTGCAGCTCTGTGTGTGTGTGTGCGTGTCTGTCTGTCTGTCTGTCTGTCTGTCTGTCTGTCTGGGAGCGCGCGGCGGTGAGGAGAGAGCGCCTCGCAGGTAGACGGGACAGAGCGAGGTGTATGTAAAGATTAACATTACGCGAAAAATAAATGGTAGATTTACGATCAGGAAACAATTATTTAAATTAATACATGAAAAACATTACACACGTTTGTTAATAATCATTGTCATTAACAAATACTTATAACCAAGGACTACAGCATATATCAATACATGTTTAACAATGTTGTAAATATATTATTCCATTGCATTTTCAATGGAAAACGGACCCGACACGCGTCGACGGACGGAACAAATAGGATTGTTTCTATTTCGTCCGTCCACGTCTTTTGCACCCTCCGTTGACGGAATAGGTCCGACGTGCGTTGGACGGACGCATGCGGAGGCAGTGGAGCCACTTCCATTCACTCTCATGGAGATAACGGAGACGGAGATGAAACGGACATGTTTGGACGGATCCGTCGTCCGTTTTACGCGCCCGGTGGAGTCGGGGCCTGAGTCTGAGGCAGGTCTGAGTCTGAGGCAGGTCTGAGTCTGAGGCAGGTCTGAGTCTGAGGCAGGTCTGAGTCTGAGGCAGGTCTGAGTCTGAGGCAGGTCTGAGTCTGAGGCAGGTCTGAGTCTGAGGCAGGTCTGAGGCAGGTCTGAGTCTGAGGCAGGTCTGAGTCTGAGGCAGGTCTGAGTCTGAGGCAGGTCTGAGTCTGAGGCAGGTCTGAGTCTGAGGCAGGTCTGAGTCTGAGGCAGGTCTGAGTCTGAGGCAGGTCTGAGTCTGAGGCAGGTCTGAGTCTGCGGCAGGTCTGAGTCTGCGGCAGGTCTGAGTCTGCGGCAGGTCTGAGTCTGAGGCAGGTCTGAGTCTGAGGCAGGTCTGAGTCTGCGGCAGGTCTGAGTCTGCGGCAGGTCTGAGTCTGAGGCAGGTCTGAGTCTGAGGCAGGTCTGAGTCTGAGGCAGGTCTGAGTCTGAGGCAGGTCTGAGTCTGAGGCAGGTCTGAGTCTGAGGCAGGTCTGAGTCTGAGGCAGGTCTGAGTCTGAGGCAGGTCTGAGTCTGAGGCAGGTCTGAGTCTGAGGCAGGTCTGAGTCTGAGGCAGGTCTGGTCTGAGAGGCTGAGGTCTGAGGCAGGTCTGAGTCTGAGGCAGGTCTGAGTCTGAGGCAGGTCTGAGTCTGAGGCAGGTCTGAGTCTGAGGCAGGTCTGAGTCTGAGGCAGGTCTGAGTCTGAGGCAGGTCTGAGTCTGAGGCAGGTCTGAGTCTGAGGCAGGTCTGAGTCTGAGGCAGGTCTGAGTCTGAGGCAGGTCTGAGTCTGCGGCAGGTCTCAGTCTGAGGCAGGTCTCAGTCTGAGGCAGGTCTGAGTCTGAGGCAGGTCTGAGTCTGAGGCAGGTCTGAGGCAGGTCTGAGTCTGAGGCAGGTCTGAGGCAGGTCTAAGGTCTGAGTCAGGTTTAGGTCAGAGGCGGGTCAGAGGCGGGTCAGAGGCGGGTCAGAGGCGGGTCAGAGGCGGGTCAGAGGCGGGTCAGAGGCGGGTCACTTTACTTGAAGAAAACGAAGGGATGGAGTTTGGTTCCAGCTTTAATATTCTTAATTTTGCTTTTCCAAATTGACTCACTGAGATTTCAGAATATCTCTTTGGCCCCAGAGAGAGGCGAGCTATTCTACATATTTTTAATGGTAGGGAAGACCAGAGCACGCAGCAGAAACCTACGCAGACACGGGGAGAACATGCAAACTCCCCTCAGAAAGGTCTGGAGGTAGAATCAAACACTGATCCCGTTCCTCTTTCTAACCTTAGCTAGCTTTAGCCCTTTCTAACCTTAGCTAGCTTTGGCCCTTTCTAACCTTAGCTAGCTTTAGCCCTTTCTAACCTCAGCTAGCTTTAGCCTTATCTATCAATCTAACCTTAAGTAAAGACCAGTGTGGGCGAGTCCCAGCTCAAAAGTGGCCAAAATGACGTGCGCTGACATGCTGCAGTACCACCCCGGGCCTGTGGGGGTGGACCCAGAAGAAGAATTAGCCAATGCTAACATATAGCATTGGCAGACCTCTGGAAAACGTCTTTACAGGATGGACCAAAAGTTGTCTCTTGGCCCAAAGCTCCGTTCCACATGTGTGTCAAGGCTGAGTGTTCTGGTCCACTCTAGTTTACTTGCTGTGAATTTTTGAAGTCTCTCGTTCAAATGAATGGAGCTGCGCCGGCTGACGCATGCGCAGATGCGTTTTTTCACAATTTTCTTGAGGGTGGGACCACTCACTACCATTTTGGATTGCTCCAGTAGAGCACATTTTTTAGCCCATTAGTTAGAACGGCGGAGACACTGTAGGCGTGACTCTGTCCATTAATATATACAGTCTATGGTAAAGACCCAATCTCACTTGAATGATTATCTTGGAGTCTTAACACCCTCAAACTCCGGACTCGTGCACTTCCCCTTACAACAATGCTCTCTGGCCTGCGTGCTCTCGGAAGGAAAAGCACCCGGCCTCACCACACCTACGTCCCAGCAGCAGGAATAATAAACGTTGCTGATGAGGGCGCTGGAGGTGACTGGGGGAAAGAGCAGGAAACGCAGACATGGCTCCTTCACAGAATGTTCTTATCGTCTTGAAGTCGCAAACACAGGAAGAGACCACGGGACTTTGGATTCAGAGTTAGACCTTTGCCTGGAGAGTTAAGAGTATTACCCCAGAGACCGGCTGTGTATTAGCGGCAAATAATCAAGTTATTTTAATAAGCTACAACTGTTTTAATGAGCTACAACTGTTTTAATAATCTACAACTGTTTTAATAATCTACAACTGTTTTAATAATCTACAACTGTTTTAATAATCTACAACTGTTTTAATAATCTACAACTGTTTTTTATAATCTACAACTGTTTTTTATAATCTACAACTGTTTTAATCATCTACAACTGTTTTTATAATCTACAACTGTTTTAATAATCTACAACTGTTTTAATAATCTACAACTGTTTTAATCATCTACAACTGTTTTAATAATCTACAACTGTTGGTGGTGGTGGTGTAGCAGATGGTGGTGTAGCTGATGGGGGTGGTGTAGCAGATGGGGGTGGTGTAGCAGATGGTGGTGTAGCAGATGGGGGTGGTGTAGCTGATGGTGGTGTAGCAGGTGGTGGTGTAGCAGGTGGTGGTGTAGCTGATGGGGGTGTAGCTGATGGGGGTGTAGCTGATGGGGGTGTAGCAGATGGGGGTGTAGCTGATGGTGGTGTAGCTGATGGTGGTGTAGCTGATGGTGGTGGTGTAGCTGATGGTGGTGTAGCAGATGGGGGTGTAGCTGATGGGGGTGTAGCTGATGGGGGTGTAGCTGATGGGGGTGTAGCTGATGGTGGTGGTGTAGCTGATGGTGGTGTAGCAGGTGGTGGTGTAGCTGATGGTGGTGTAGCTGATGGTGGTGTAGCTGATGGTGGTGTAGCAGGTGGTGGTGTAGCTGATGGGGGTGTAGCTGATGGGGGTGTAGCTGATGGGGGTGTAGCTGATGGGGGTGTAGCTGATGGGGGTGTAGCTGATGGGGGTGTAGCAGATGGTGGTGTAGCTGATGGTGGTGGTGTAGCTGATGGTGGTGTAGCAGGTGGTGGTGTAGCTGATGGTGGTGTAGCTGATGGTGGTGTAGCAGGTGGTGGTGTAGCAGATGGGGGTGTAGCTGATGGTGGTGTAGCTGATGGTGGTGTAGCAGGTGGTGGTGTAGCTGATGGTGGTGTAGCAGATGGTGGTGTAGCTGATGGTGGTGTAGCTGATGGTGGTGTAGCAGGTGGTGGTGTAGCTGATGGGGGTGTAGCTGATGGGGGTGTAGCTGATGGGGGTGTAGCTGATGGGGGTGTAGCTGATGGGGGTGTAGCTGATGGGGGTGTAGCTGATGGGGTGTAGCTGATGGGGGTGTAGCAGATGGTGGTGTAGCTGATGGTGGTGGTGTAGCTGATGGTGGTGTAGCAGGTGGTGGTGTAGCTGATGGTGGTGTAGCTGATGGTGGTGTAGCAGGTAGTGGTGTAGCAGATGGGGGTGTAGCTGATGGTGGTGTAGCTGATGGTGGTGTAGCAGGTGGTGGTGTAGCTGATGGTGGTGTAGCTGATGGTGGTGTAGCTGATGGTGGTGTAGCAGATGGTGGTGTAGCTGATGGTGGTGTAGCTGATGGTGGTGTAGCTGATGGTGGTGTAGCAGATGGTGGTGTAGCTGATGGTGGTGTAGCAGATGGTGGTGTAGCAGATGGTGGTGTAGCAGATGGTGGTGTAGCAGATGGTGGTGTAGCTGATGGTGGTGTATGCAGAGTTTCTCTGCTCTGGTTCAGAGTGAAATTCGCATTATTAGAATATTTTTCAAAAACAAAAAGCGTTCCTCCAGTGGCTCAGACCATGAATCCTCTCTGCTCTGGTCTGGACCAGTGTAAAACCATGAATCCTCTCTGCTCTGGTCTGGACCAGTGTAAAACCATGAATCCTCTCTGCTCTGGTCTGGACCAGTGTAAAACCATGAATCCTCTCAGCTCTGGTCTGGACCAGTGTAAAACCATGAATCCTCTCTGCTCTGGTCTGGACCAGTGTAAAACCATGAATCCTCTCTGCTCTGGTCTGGACCAGTGTAAAACCATGAATCCTCTCAGCTCTGGTCTGGACCAGTGTAAAACCATGAATCCTCTCTGCTCAGGTCTGGACCAGTGTAAAACCATGAATCCTCTCTGCTCTGGTCTGGACCAGTGTAAAACCATGAATCCTCTCTGCTCTGGTCTGGACCAGTGTAAAACCATGAATCCTCTCAGCTCTGGTCTGGACCAGTGTAAAACCATGAATCCTCTCTGCTCAGGTCTGGACCAGTGTAAAACCATGAATCCTCTCTGCTCTGGTCTGGACCAGTGTAAAACCATGAATCCTCTCAGCTCTGGTCTGGACCAGTGTAAAACCATGAATCCTCTCAGCTCTGGTCTGGACCAGTGTAAAACCATGAATCCTCTCAGCTCTGGTCTGGACCAGTGTAAAACCATGAATCCTCTCTGCTCTGGTCTGGACCAGTGTAAAACCATGAATCCTCTCAGCTCTGGTCTGGACCAGTGTAAAACCATGAATCCTCTCAGCTCTGGTCTGGACCAGTGTAAAACCATGAATCCTCTCTGCTCTGGTCTGGACCAGTGTAAAACCATGAATCCTCTCTGCTCTGGTCTGGACCAGTGTAAAACCATGAACACTGTACTGCAGCAATATTTACAGATAGAAAAAAGCAAGAAAAGTAATTATGGTTAAACACAAAATGACAACTTTTTCAGAGCGACTGAAACACTGTACCATGGGGCTGAATTCTTTGTGCAGCAGGATCCCGTCTCCATGGCAACGGTCCCTTTTGGACTTTCAGAACCATCGTCACAACAGCCTTAGAACTTCTGACCTGGACAATAGCTCTTTATATGTAATTCTTGGCCTGTGGCTGTGACCCGGTCTCCTCCTGCTCCGGTCCAACACTGAGACAAACCAGACGCCGCACACGCCAAGAAACACGCCAAGAAACACGCCAAGAAACACGCCAAGAAACACGCCAAGAAACGGTGTCTGCTGCGTTTCCCAAACATTCAGAGAAAAGTTTTATTTCCCGTTCGTAGAATAAAGGAAATGGAGAGTTTTATATTCAAGAAATATCAATGGTGTGATGGGCTCCTGATGGTCCGGTGTGATGGGTCTCTGATGGTCCAGTGTGATGGGTCTCTGATGGTCCGGTGTGATGGGTCTCTGATGGTCCGGTGTGATGGGTCTCTGATGGTCCAGTGTGATGGGTCTCTGATGGTCCGGTGTGATGGGTCTTTGATGGTCCGGTGTGATGGGTCTCTGATGGTCCAGTGTGATGGGTCCCTGAGGGTCCGGTCTTTGATGGTCCGGTGTGATGGGTCTCTGATGGTCCTGTGTGATGGGTCCCTGATGGTCCGGTGTGATGGGTCTCTGATGGTCCGGTGTGATGGGTTTCTGATGGTCCAGTGTGATGGGTCCCTGATGGTCCGGTCTCTGATGGTCCGGTGTGATGGGTCTCTGATGGTCCAGTGTGATGGGTCCCTGATGGTTCGGTCTCTGATGGTCCAGTGTGATGGGTCTCTGATGGTCCGGTGTGATGGGTTCTGATGGTCCAGTGTGATGGGTCCCTGATTGTCCGGTCTCTGATGGTCCGGTGTGATGGGTCCCTGATGGTCCGGTCTCTGATGGTCCAGTGTGATGGGTCTCTGATGGTCCGGTGTGATGGGTCTCTGATGGTCCGGTGTGATGGGTCTCTGATGGTCCGGTGTGATGGGTCTCTGATGGTCCAGTGTGATGGGTCCCTGATGGTCCGGTGTGATGGGTCTCTGATGGTCCGGTGTGATGGGTCTCTGATGGTCCAGTGTGATGGGTCTCTGATGGTCCGGTGTGATGGGTCTCTGATGGTCCGGTGTGATGGGTCTCTGATGGTCCAGTGTGATGGGTCTCTGATGGTCCGGTGTGATGGGTCTTTGATGGTCCGGTGTGATGGGTCTCTGATGGTCCAGTGTGATGGGTCCCTGAGGGTCCGGTCTTTGATGGTCCGGTGTGATGGGTCTCTGATGGTCCAGTGTGATGGGTCCCTGATGGTCCGGTGTGATGGGTCTCTGATGGTCCGGTGTGATGGGTTTCTGATGGTCCAGTGTGATGGGTCCCTGATGGTCCGGTCTCTGATGGTCCGGTGTGATGGGTCTCTGATGGTCCAGTGTGATGGGTCCCTGATGGTTCGGTCTCTGATGGTCCAGTGTGATGGGTCTCTGATGGTCCGGTGTGATGGGTTCTGATGGTCCAGTGTGATGGGTCCCTGATTGTCCGGTCTCTGATGGTCCGGTGTGATGGGTCCCTGATGGTCCGGTCTCTGATGGTCCAGTGTGATGGGTCTCTGATGGTCCGGTGTGATGGGTCTCTGATGGTCCGGTGTGATGGGTCTCTGATGGTCCGGTGTGATGGGTCTCTGATGGTCCAGTGTGATGGGTCCCTGATGGTCCGGTCTCTGATGGTCCAGTGTGATGGGTCTCTGATGGTCCGGTGTGATGGGTCTCTGATGGTCCGGTGTGATGGGTCTCTGATGGTCCGGTCCCTGATGGTCCGGTCTCTGATGGTCCTGGCTGAGCACGTATGAAGCTGCCTCTGTGTGTTTCAGCCCAAACCCACCAAGGGCCGCATGAGGATCCACTGCCTGGAGAACGTGGACAAGGCCCTGCAGTTCCTGAAGGAGCAGCGGGTCCACCTCGAGAACATGGGATCACATGACATCGTGGACGGGAACCACCGCCTCACACTGGGCCTGATCTGGACCATCATCCTCCGTTTCCAGGTACTCTCAGTATACATGTCTCTGTATACATGCTTCAGTATACATACTTCAGTATACATGTCTCATTTTTACTGCAAATGGCAAATAAATGAATCTGAATCTGAATATGCTTCAGTATACATGTCTCAGTATACATGTCTCAGTATACATGTCTCAGTATTCATACTTCAGTATACATGTCTCTGTATACATGCTTCAGTATACATGTCTCTGTATACATGTCTCTGTATACATGTCTCTGTATACATGTCTTAGTATACATGCTTCAGTATACATGTCTCTGTATACATGCTTCAGTATACATGTCTCTGTATACATGTCTTAGTATACATGCTTCAGTATACATGTCTCTGTATACATGCTTCAGTATACATGTCTCAGTATACATGTCTCTGTATACATGCTTCAGTATACATGTCTCTGTATACATGTCTTAGTATACATGCTTCAGTATACATGTCTCTGTATACATGCTTCAGTATACATGTCTCAGTATACATGTCTCTGTATACATGCTTCAGTATACATGTCTCTGTATACATGCTTCAGTATACATGTCTCTGTATACATGTCTCTGTATACATGTCTTAGTATACATGCTTCAGTATACATGTCTCTGTATACATGCTTCAGTATACATGTCTCTGTATACATGTCTCTGTATACATGTCTTAGTATACATGCTTCAGTATACATGTCTCAGTATACATGTCTCTGTATACATGTCTCAGTATACATGCCTCAGTATACATGTCTCTGTATACATGCTTCAGTATACATGTCTCTGTATACATGCTTCAGTATACATGTCTCAGTATACATGTCTCTGTATACATGCTTCAGTATACATGTCTCTGTATACATGTCTCTGTATACATGTCTCTGTATACATGTCTCTGTATACATGCTTCAGTATACATGTCTCTGTATACATGCTTCAGGATACATGTCTCAGTATACATGTCTCTGTATACATGCTTCAGTATACATGTCTCTGTATACATGCTTCAGTATACATGTCTCTGTATACATGCTTCAGTATACATGTCTCTGTATACATGCTTCAGTATACATGTCTCTGTATACATGCCTCAGTATACATGCCTCAGTATACATGCCTCAGTATACATGGAGGAGGAAGATGAAATGGAGCCGATGGCGTTCTGACCACTTCGCTAACCCTCGCCAACCCTTGCTAACACTTGCTAACACTTGCTAACACTTGCTAACCCTTGCTAACACTTGCTAACACTTGCTAACACTTGCTAACACTTGCTAACCCTTGCTAACACTTGCTAACCCTTGCTAACCCTTGCTAACACTTGCTAACACTGGCTAACCCTCGCTAACACAATAAGATCACAGTTTAATGTAGACTCCTCCTCACATTTATCTAATGAAGGTGTGGGTTTCTTCTGAGTTTTTCCACATTCTGAGAAAGTTTATTTTGCCTCAAAGGAACTTAATCCTGAATCAAAGACACCGCCTTCTTTTAAACGTTTGATTTTTGTTCCTTCCAGATCCAGGACATTAGTGTGGAGACAGAGGACAACAAGGAGAAGAAGTCTGCCAAAGACGCTCTGCTGCTGTGGTGTCAGATGAAGACCGCGGGGTAAGGGGGAGGCTGAGGGAGGCTGAGGGAGGCTGAGGGAGGCTGAGGGAGGCTGTGGGAGGCTGTGGGAGGCTAAGGGAGGCTGTGGGAGGCTGTGGGAGGCTAAGGGAGGCTGTGGGAGGCTGAGGGAGGCTGTGGGAGGCTGTGGGAGGCTGAGGGAGGCTGAGGGAGGCTGAGGGAGGCTGTGGGAGGCTGTGGGAGGCTGAGGGAGGCTGAGGGAGGCTGAGGGAGGCTGAGGGAGGCTGTGGGAGGCTGAGGGAGGCTGAGGGAGGCTGAGGGAGGCTGTGGGAGGCTGAGGGAGGCTGAGGGAGGCTGAGGGAGGCTGAGGGAGGCTGAGGGAGGCTGAGGGAGGCTGAGGGAGGCTGAGGGAGGCTGAGGGAGGCTGAGGGAGGCTGAGGGAGGCTGAGGGAGGCTGAGGGAGGCTGTGGGAGGCTGTGGGAGGCTGTGGGAGATGGAGGGAGGCTGTGGGAGGCTGAGGGAGGCTGAGGGAGGCTGAGGGAGGCTGAGGGAGGCTGAGGGAGGCTGTGGGAGGCTGTGGGAGGCTGTGGGAGGCTGAGGGAGGCTGTGGGAGGCTGTGGGAGATGGAGGGAGGCTGAGGGAGATGGAGGGAGGCTGTGGGAGGCTGAGGGAGGCTGAGGGAGGCTGTGGGAGGCTGACGGAGGCTGTGGGAGGCTGACGGAGGCTGTGGGAGACGGAGGGAGGCTGAGGGAGGCTGTGGGAGGCTGAGGGAGGCTGTGGGAGGCTGAGGGAGGCTGTGGGAGGCTGAGGGAGGCTGAGGGAGGCTGTGGGAGGCTGTGGGAGGCTGAGGGAGGCTGAGGGAGACGGAGGGAGACGGAGGGAGGCTGTGGGAGGCTGAGGGAGGCTGAGGGAGGCTGTGGGAGGCTGAGGGAGGCTGAGGGAGGCTGTGGGAGGCTGGGCCGGCCTGGGGTGGACCAGTTTGAGCAGTCTCTTGACCGCTCTAACTGTAGTTTGTATAAAATGTATAAAATATGAGATAATTATTGCTTGAATCCAGTGGTTTTTATCTTAATCTGACACATTCTGACTGTGTTAAATCTTAATCTGACACATTCTGACTGTGTTAAAACTTAATCTGACACATTCTGACTGTGTTAAAACTTAATCTGACACATTCTGACTGTGTTAAAACTTAATCTGACACATTCTGTGTTAAAACTTAATCTGACACATTCTGACTGTGTTAAAACATGATTCTTCAACAGGACAAAGACATTTAGATTAATTTCAAGAACGTTTCTGTATTTTCTCATTCCAAGAAAGACTTTTCTTGTAAATTTTAAAGAATAAGATAATTTTGCTCTGTCCCATCGGTGAATCTAGAGTTAAGGCTCAGTCAGACTGTGTTTATATTAAAACGTTTAGTTGTGAGTGAGCGCTGGGCTCAGATGGAGGATAAACAGTGTCTACAGGAAGCTGTTAAACTAGAAACATGTTATTTTAAAAACCATTTCCTTTAACACCAACTTCCTTTGACCACAAGAGATAATATCCACCAGAAGGAAGAGTATGTCTCCATCATTGTGTCTAGAGTTTCCTGAACAAGTTATAGATTCAAAACTAAGAATATATGAAACAAAGTTAATTATTTTTGACGCTACAAAATTCTGTTGTGGAACATTATTTCAAGAATAACTATTTTCATCAAACGTGTTGTTTTGTCTCCTGCAGTTATCCCAACGTGAACATCCACAACTTCTCCACCAGCTGGAGAGACGGCATGGCCTTCAACGCTCTCATCCACAAGCACAGGTACGAGTCTGTTCTATAAGCACAGGTACGAGTCTGCTCTATAAGCACAGGTACGAGTCTGTTATATAAGCACAGGTACGAGTCTGTTATATAAGCACAGGTACGAGTCTGTTCTATAAGCACAGGTACGAGTCTGTTATATAAGCACAGGTACGAGTCTGTTATATAAGCACAGGTACGAGTCTGTTCTATAAGCACAGGTACGAGTCTGTTCTATAAGCACAGGTACGAGTCTGTTCTATAAGCACAGGTACGAGTCTGTTCTATAAGCACAGGTACGAGTCTGTTCTATAAGCACAGGTTGTGCGAGTCTGTTCTATAAGCACAGGTACGAGTCTGTTCTATAAGCACAGGTACGAGTCTGTTCTATAAGCACAGGTACGAGTCTGTTCTATAAGCACAGGTACGAGTCTGTTCTATAAGCACAGGTACGAGTCTGTTCTATAAGCACAGGTACGAGTCTATGCTTTCCAAAGGCCCAGCAGACAGAATCTCACGGCACACTACGTTGCTCTGGTGGACCTCTGCTCTGGTTCAGAGTGAAATTCTGAATGTTTTATTAGCATTTCATGAAAAGAACAGAAAAATCATTCTTCCAGCGCTGTTCTGCTGGATCTGTTTGGTTTGGTCTGGATCAGAGTAAAACCATGAACAACATTTACAGCAAAAATATAATAATTCTTATTAGAATGTGAGACAGTCTTCCTGATCATGTGAGACAGTCTTCCTGATCATGTGAGACAGTCTTCCTGATAATGTGGGACAGTCTTCCTGATAATGTGGGACAGTCTTCCTGATCATGTGAGACAGTCTTCCTGATCATGTGAGACAGTCTTCCTGATCATGTGAGACAGTCTTCCTGATCATGTGAGACAGTCTTCCTGATAATGTGGGACAGTCTTCCTGATAATGTGGGACAGTCTTCCTGATAATGTGGGACAGTCTTCCTGATCATGTGAGACAGTCTTCCTGATCATGTGAGACAGTCTTCCTGATCATGTGAGACAGTCTTCCTGATAATGTGGGACAGTCTTCCTGATAATGTGGGACAGTCTTCCTGATAATGTGGGACAGTCTTCCTGATCATGTGAGACAGGCTTCTGCTGGATGTTCAAATCCAGGTGAAGTCAGTTGTGTGAAGTTGTGTTGAAGTCTTTGTCCTGGTGAATAAACAGCAGAATGTTCAGATGTGTGTCTCTGTCTCAGACCGGACCTGATCGACTTCGACAAACTGAAGAAGTCCAACGCTCACCACAACCTGCAGAACGCTTTCAACCTGGCAGAGCAACACCTGGGGCTCACCAAGCTGCTGGACGCTGAAGGTGACCACACACACACAACACATACACAACAACACACAACCACACACGAGACCACACACACACTGCTGTAGAAGAGAGGGGACAATGATCAGGTTCCTCTTTTGTTTCTATGAAGTGCATTTGTGAATCACAGCAAAGTTATCGATTCATCAACAACAGATCAGAGAATCAACACAGGAAAAACTATATTAACAAACACAAAGAAGCCATTGGTCCAGAGGGAGCGGGACGAGCCAATGGGCCTCCTCCAGAGGAGCAGGACGAGCCAATGGGCCTCCTCCAGAGGAGCAGGACGAGCCAATGGGCCTCCTCCAGAGGGGCGGGACCAGCAGCCAATGGGCCTCCTCCAGAGGAGCAGGACGAGCCAATGCGCCTCCTCCAGAGGAGCGGGATGAGCCAATGGGCCTCCTCCACTTTTATCCAATGGTTTTAATTATTCTTTGGTTGGTTCCTTTCCCGCCGCAGGAGGGTCTGAGGTCTGAGTCCCTCTGCTCCCTCTGGACCCACGGCTCCTGTGTTTTTATTATTATTACATGTTGTTCTGTTCTCACACACACTAACACACTTTCTGTTCTCACACACACTAACACACTGTCTGATGTTCTCACACACACTAACACACTGTCACACACACTAACACACTTTCAGAGAAAAGCAGAAATGACAAAGATATGATTAAAAACAAGTGTTGTGTTTAAGGTTGTGTGAAGCTAACGGTGTGTGTTGCAGACATCAGCGTGGACCACCCTGACGAGAAGTCCATCATCACCTACGTGGTCACCTACTACCACTACTTCTCCAAGATGAAGGCGCTGAAGGTGGAGGGCAAGAGGATCGGCAAGGTCAGCATGTGACATCACCAACGTCTGCTGCAGCCCAGAGGCGGAGGCGGAGCTTAGCTAGAGCAGAATCAGAATGATTTCTATTGTCAGGAAGTCACAGTTAGCATTCATACACAAATGTTCTTATAACGTCTTTAAATTACTACTGGACAAGTTTATAATGAGCAAACAGTTTTTAGCATTATTCCACTACTTCATCTACAGAATATTACTGCCTTTTGTTAAATGTTTTTTTTTTTTGCTTGGTCTTAGACTCGATATTTCAGATTAGATCCATAGATCATTGTTTACCTGTGTGTAGGTTCTCAGGACGTTAGCATGAAGCTATCTCACTAGCTTTTGCTATAAATGTCATAAATGATGCCGATACAAAGTTCTGCTCTGTCGATTATGTCATGTTTGGACCGAGCTCACGGCTTCTTTGGACCTGTAGGTTCTGGACAACGCCATCGAGACGGAGAAGATGATCGAGAAGTACGAGTCCCTGGCCTCGGACCTCCTGGAGTGGATCGAGCAGACCATCATCATCCTCAACAACCGCAAGTTCGCCAACTCCCTGGTGGGAGTCCAGCAGCAGCTGCAGGCCTTCAACACCTACAGGACCGTGGAGAAGCCGCCCAAGTGAGACGCACAATGATACACACACACACACACCTACAGGACCGTGGAGAAGCCGCCCAAGTGAGACGCACAATGATACACACACAGACACACACCTACAGGACCGTGGAGAAGCAGCCCAAGTGAGACGCACAATGATACACACACACACTGATACACACACACCTACACGACCGTGGAGAAGCCGCCCAAGTGAGACGCACAATGATACACACACACAGACGCACACTGATACACACACAGAGACGCACACAGAGACGCACACAGAGACGCACACAGAGACGCACACAGAGACGCACACAGAGACGCACACAGAGACGCACACAGAGACGCACACAGAGACGCACACAGAGACGCACACAGAGACGCACACCTACAGGACCGTGGAGAAGCCGCCCAAGTGAGACGCACAATGATACACACAGATACACACACAGATACACACACAGACACACACACAGACACACACACAGACACACACAGACACACACTGATACAGGACCGTGGAGAAGCCGCCCAAGTGAGAGACACGCACAGACACACACAGATACACACACAGACACACACACACACACACACAGACACACACAGACACACACTGATACAGGACTGTGGAGAAGCCGCCCAAGTGAGACGCACAATAATACACACACACAGATACACACACAAATACACACACAGATACACACACAGACACACACTGATACACACAGATACAGGACCGTGAAGAAGCCGCCAAAGTGAGAGACGCACACACACACACACACACACACACACACTTCCCCTGGATTGACGTCATACTGACAATCACTGATGCTATTCGGGCGGCACGGTGGCTGAGTGGTTAGCACTCTCGCCTCTCAGCAAGAAGGTCCTGGGTTCTAATCCCAGTTGGACCAGGGCCTTTCTGAGTGGAGTTTGCATGTTCTCCCCGTGTCTGCGTAGGTTTCCTCCGGGTACTCCGGTTTCCCCTACCACTAAAAACATATGCAATAGTTCTGGCATGTGCCTCCTGTACTGGCCCCTCCCCTCTCTGTGGAGTGAGAGACTAACGCCCAAAAATAACAATCGTAAACCTCTTTGAGACTCTGGTCTGTGAAAGGCGGTATATAAATAAAGTTTACATACTTACTTAAAAGTTGGACCAGTGTTGGGCTGACTTCCTCACATGGTTTAAACGCACTCTCCAATTTAGTTCTCTCTTCTGAAAAATACACTCTTTACATTGGGGCTTTTATAAGAACACACAGATACACAATCACAGTCTATGGTCACGCCACGTTCAATGTACGATCCATGTGAGACGTGAGCTCCGTGTACAGTTAGCATGAGCGCCGGCTGAGGGGGAGGGGGGTAGAGGGGGGTGAAAGCTCCGTGTACAGTTAGCATGAGCGCCGGCTGAGGGGGGAGGGGGGTAGAGGGGGGTGAAAGCTCCGTAAACAGTTAGCATGAGCGCCGGGGGAGGGGGGGTGGGGGCGAGCAGAGAGAGCGAGGCCAGCGCTGATATTCCAACATTTCTCAAAGTCAGTTAGTGCAGCTTTAAAGTCCCAGTCCATGTATGTGGCAGAAGCAGATTCACTGAAAACACTATAATCCTCACATGTGAAGATATTTATATGTTTGTGTGTTTGTGTGTTTCAGGTTCACAGAGAAGGGGAACCTGGAGGTGCTGCTCTTCACCATCCAGAGCAAAATGAGAGCGAACAACCAGAAAGTTTACACACCGCGGGAAGGAAAACTCATCTCCGACATCAACAAGGTGAGCCTCGAACCCCTTCACATCTGTTAGTCCTGGTGTTAGTCCCGGTGTTAGTCCTGGTGTTAGTCCTGGTGTTAGTCCTGGTGTTAGTCCCGGTGTTAGTCCTGGTGTTAGTCCTGGTGTTAGTCCTGGTGTTAGTCCTGGTGTTAGTCCTGGTGTTAGTCCTGGTGTTAGTCCTGGTGTTAGTCCCGGTGTTAGTCCCGGTGTTAGTCCTGGTGTTAGTCCTGGTGTTAGTCCCGGTGTTAGTCCCGGTGTTAGTCCCGGTGTTAGTCCCGGTGTTAGTCCCGGTGTTAGTCCCGGTGTTAGTCCTGGTGTTAGTCCTGGTGTTAGTCCTGGTGTTAGTCCTGGTGTTAGTCCCGGTGTTAGTCCCGGTGTTAGTCCCGGTGTTAGTCCCGGTGTTAGTCCCGGTGTTAGTCCTGGTGTTAGTCCTGGTGTTAGTCCCGGTGTTAGTCCCGGTGTTAGTCCCGGTGTTAGTCCTGGTGTTAGTCCTGGTGTTGGTCCTGGTGTTGGTCCCGGCGTTGGTCCCGGCGTTGGTCCCGGCGTTGGTCCCGGCGTTGGTCCCGGTGTTAGTCCTGGTGTTAGTCCTGGTGTTAGTCCTGGTGTTAGTCCCGGTGTTAGTCCCGGTGTTAGTCCTGTCGTTAGTCCCGGCGTTGGTCCCGGCGTTGGTCCCGGCGTTAGTCCCGGTGTTAGTCTTGGTGTTAGTCCTGGTGTTAGTCCTGGTGTTAGTCCTGGTGTTAGTCCTGGTGTTAGTCCTGGTGTTAGTCCTGGTGTTAGTCCTGGTGTTAGTCCTGGTGTTAGTCCTGGTGTTAGTCCCGGTGTTAGTCCTGTCGTTAGTCCCGGCGTTGGTCCCGGCGTTGGTCCCGGCGTTAGTCCTGGTGTTAGTCCCGGTGTTAGTCCCGGTGTTAGTCCTGGTGTTAGTCCTGGTGTTAGTCCTGGTGTTAGTCCCGGTGTTAGTCCCGGCGTTGGTCCCGGCGTTGGTCCCGGCGTTGGTCCCGGCGTTGGTCCCGGCGTTGGTCCCGGCGTTGGTCCCGGCGTTGGTCCCGGCGTTGGTCCCGGCGTTGGTCCCGGCGTTGGTCCCGGCGTTGGTCCCGGCGTTGGTCCCGGCGTTGGTCCCGGCGTTAGTCCCGGCGTTAGTCCCAGTGTAACCTGTGTGTTGTGTTGTGTAGGCCTGTGTGTAGTGTAACCTGTGTGTTGTGTTGTGTAGGCCTGTGTGTAGTGTAACCTGTGTGTTGTGTTGTGTAGGCCTGTGTGTAGTGTAACCTGTGTGTTGTGTTGTGTAGGCTTGTGTGTAGTGTAACCTGTGTGTTGTGTAGGCCTGGGAGCGTCTGGAGAAGGCGGAGCACGAGCGTGAGCTGGCCCTGAGGACGGAGCTGATCCGACAGGAGAAACTGGAGCAGCTCGCACGCCGTTTCGACCGTAAGGCGGCGATGAGGGAGACGTGGCTGAGCGAGAACCAGAGGCTGGTGTCGCAGGTACACACAGACGCACACAGACACACACACACACACACTAACGCACAGACACACACACACTCTCTCTAAATGACTGTACATCTGTGTTAATCCATACTAAAACTATGATCAAAACTCTATTCTCATTTCTGCAAGAAGCAAAATAAAAACAGCTTAGAATGAATTCAACCAAATCCCAAAAACTAAACTGAAGCGTTGATATTTTCTCCTCATTTGTATTGGTCTGAAATGTGTGCATCAGAGAGATCTTTGTGGCAGAGTCTGACCTGTGTCCTACTGCAGGACAACTTTGGCTTCGACCTCCAGGCCGTGGAAGCTGCCACCAAGAAACATGAAGCCATCGAGACGGACATCGCGGCCTACGAGGAGAGAGTGCAGGTCTGAACATGATCATCTCCCCTACGTACTCAGCAGGAGACTGTGTAGGCCTCACATCTCCTACGTACTCAGCAGGAGACTGTGTAGGCCTCACATCTCCTACGTACTCAGCAGGAGACTGTGTAGGCCTCACATCTCCTACGTACTCAGCAGGAGACTGTGTAGGCCTCACATCTCCTACGTACTCAGCAGGAGACTGTGTAGGCCTCACATCTCCTACGTACTCAGCAGGAGACTGTGTAGGCCTCACATCTCCTACGTACTCAGCAGGAGACTGTGTAGGCCTCACATCTCCTACGTACTCAGCAGGAGACTGTGTAGGCCTCACATCTTCTACGTACTCAGCAGGAGACTGTTTTAGTTTCACAGTGAGAAGTGTGTTTAGCTTGTTTTGTTCCTGAACCTTTAGCTTGTTGCACATCTATTCCAATGTGGTTTTACTGCACAAGGCAAATGAAGTGTGACTGTGCGCAGGCCGTGGTGTCCGTGGCGCGTGAGCTGGAGGCGGAGAGTTACCACGACATCAAACGCATCACGGCGCGTAAAGACAACGTGATCCGTCTGTGGGAGTATCTGCTGGAGCTGCTGAAGGCGCGTAGGCTCAGGCTGGAGGCTAACCTGGGCCTGCAGCGGGTGTTCCAGGAGATGCTCTACATCATGGACTGGATGGACGAGATGAAGGTACACACACGCACAGACACACACACGCACACAGACACACATGCGCACGCACAATCACAGACACACATGCACAAGCACACACAGACACATGCACAAGCACAGACACACACACGCACACAGACACAGACAGACACACATGCGCACGCACAATCACAGACACACATGCACAAGCACACACAGACACATGCACAAGCACAGACACACACACGCACACAGACACAGACAGACACACATGCGCACGCACAATCACAGACACACACAGACACATGCACAAGCACAGACACGCACACACACAGACACACGCACAGACACAAGCACAAGCACAGACACACACACACACACACACACACACACACAGACACATGCACAAGCACAGACACACACACAGACACATGCACAATCATAGACACACACACAAGCACAGACTCACACACACACACACACACTCACAAGCACAGACACACACAGACACAAGCACATGCACAAGCACACACACACTCACAAGCACAGACACACACGCACAGACACACACGCACGCACACGCACTCTCACACACACACGTACACACACACACCCTTTCTCACACACTCTCTCCCACACACACGCACGCACACTCTCACACAGACACACACACACACTTTTGTTTTTATTTTATTATTTTATAGTTTAGGGAGGTTCATCTCGTCTTCTTACTAGAAATTGCTCGCTACGGTCTGTGTAGAAGAAAAACACCTAAATGGCGCCGTGGCAAGAGCTCTGGTGTGTGCCGTCTGGTGCACACTGGGGTAGTCTTGCACAGTTTTTCCAATGTGGTTTTACTGCAAATGGCAAATAAATGAATCTGAATGTAAATGTAGCTGCTTTCTGTCATGAGGCCTTCGCTCTGTCTGCGGTCTTCATATTGAGTAGTGTGTTAGAGTGAGGGTTTGGCCTGGTCCCCGCTGACTCCCCCTCTCCCCCCCAGATGCTGCTGCTGTCCCAGGACTATGGGAAGCACTTGCTGGGCGTGGAGGACCTGCTGCAGAAGCACGCTCTGGTGGAGGCCGACATCGGGATCCAGGCCGACCGCGTCCGGAACGTCAGCAGCAACGCTCAGAGGTTCGCCAGCGACAGCGACGGTACGCTCTCATCAACACTCACAGAATCACGTTTGCCTTCATACACTCCTGATCCGTGACTTTAGCAAACTAGCTATGAAAGTGCGTAAGTATTGCAAGCTTACAAAGGAAATTATGGAAAAATCTTTATTAAAAAACTAAAGTAAAAGATGATTTGTCCGTGGAAAACCTTCTTTTCATCTAGATGTTCGCACAATTGTGGGCGGCACAGTGGCTGAGTGGATAGCACTCTCGCCTCTCAGCAAGAAGGTCCTGGGTTCGAATCCCGGCCGGACCAGGGCCTTTCTGAGTGGAGTTTGCATGTTCTCCCCGTGTGTGCGTAGGTTTCCTCCGGGTACTCCGGTTTCCCCTACCACTAAAAATATGTACAATAGGTCTGGCATGCGCCTCCTGTCTCTGTGAGGAGTGAGAGACAAGTGCCCAAAAATAACAATTGAAAACCGCTTTGTGACTCTGGTCTGTGAAAGGCGGTATATAAATAAAGATTACTTACTTACTTGTGTTTCTGAGCGATCTCCTTAAAGCTCATCGATCCTCCAGGGTAAGGTCTTTGACGTAGACTCTAGATCCGGGGTCTCCAACCCAGTGGCTCAGGAGCTACTTGTAGCTCGCCACCAACTTTCAGGTAGCCGGGATACTGTACGGGAGAATGGTCTCAATCAAAAAAGGTTGGAGACCCCTGCTCAAGATGTATAGATGGACAATGCTAACCCGCTAGCTCAATGAGGCATAATAGGGAAGGGTTCATGGACAAAGTTTTGTTCCAACTCGCTCTGGCTCCTATTGACTTCTATGTAAAAGTAAACTCCTTTAGTTCAGTAACCGTCTGTGTCACACTCACCATTTGTTTTAAAATGGTTTAGCGCTCTGTGTGATTCGGGCGTTTATGGTCCTCTTTCTCTGTGCAGGATACAAACCATGTGACCCCCAGATCATCCGGGACCGTGTGGCTCACCTGGACTTCTGCTACCAGGAGCTGAGCCAGCTGGCGGCCGAGCGTAGGGCCCGGCTGGAGGAGTCCCGCCGCCTGTGGAAGTTCTTCTGGGAGATGGCTGAGGAGGTCCGGACTTCTTTCTGTCTCTGTCTCTCTGACTCTGTCTCTCTCTCTGTCTCTGTCTGTCTGTCTCTGTATCTCTCTGACTCTGTCTGTGTGTATCTCTCTGTCTCTGTCTGTCTGTCTCTCTTTGTCTCTCTTTGTCTCTCTCTGTCTCTCTCTCTGTCTCTGTATCTCTCTGTGTCTCTCTCTGTGTCTTTCTCTGTGTCTCTCTCTGTGTCTCTCTCTGTGTCTCTCTCTGTGTCTCTCTGTCTCTCTGTGTCTCTCTGTCTGTCTGTCTCTCTGTGTCTCTCTCTGTGTGTCTCTGTATCTCTGATGTCCCTGATGTCCCTGATGGAGCTACTGCTAACTGTCCTGATGTCCCTGATGTGCAGGAGGGCTGGATCCGGGAGAAGGAGCAGATCCTGTCGTCGGAGGACTTTGGGAAGGACCTGACGGGAGCGGTGCGTCTGCTGAGTCAGCACAAAGCCTTCGAGGACGAGATGAGCGGCCGCGGAGCTCATCTGAGGAACACCATCCACCAGGGAGACCAGCTGGTGGAGAACAAGCACTTTGGAGCGGACAAGATCCAGGAGAGGATCCAGGACCTACAGGTACACACACATACAGGACCTACAGATACACACACATACAGGACCTACAGGTACACACACATACAGGACCTACAGGTACACACACATACAGGACCTACAGGTACACACACATACAGGACCTACAGGTACACACACATACAGGACCTACAGATACACACACATACAGGACCTACAGGTACACACACATACAGGACCTACAGGTACACACACATACAGGACCTACAGGTACACACACATACAGGACCTACAGGTACACACACATACAGGACCTACAGGTACACACACATACAGGACCTACAGATACACACACACACAGGACCTACAGGTACACACACACACAGGACCTACAGGTACACACACACACAGGACCTACAGGTACACACACACACAGGACCTACAGGTACACACACACACAGGACCTACAGGTACACACACACACAGGACCTACAGGTACACACACACACAGGACCTACAGGTACACACACACACCAGGACCTACAGATACACACACACACAGGACCTACAGGTACACACACACATAGGACCTACAGGTACACACACATACAGGACCTACAGGTACACACACACACAGGACCTACAGGTACACACACACACAGGACCTACAGGTACACACACATACAGGACCTACAGGTACACACACACATAGGACCTACAGATACACACACATACAGGACCTACAGGTACACACACACACAGGACCTACAGGTACACACACATACAGGACCTACAGGTACACACACACATAGGACCTACAGATACACACACATACAGGACCTACAGGTACACACACACACACACACACACACTCTTTTTAGAGAAAGTGTCCACACTGTTCAGTGAAGGCTCGGAAAGTCCTTTGCAAACTACAAGTTCTAGTTAAATCTCCCAGAATCAGTTGAAAACCTCATGAATAACACACACACAGTGTTTGACATATTGTCACGTTCTCTTACTAGCTTGCTTACTGCACTCACAAAAATCTGAATTCTTTTTGTGTCTTTGGCCCACATGTGTCTTTGGCCCACATGTGTCTTTGGCCCACATGTGTCTTTGGCCCACATGTGTCTTTGGCCCACATGTGTCTTTGGCCCACATGTGTCTCTGGCCCACATGTGTCTCTGGCCCACATGTGTCTTTGGCCCACATGTGTCTACTTTGTCTCTGGGACTGTGACTATTGAAAACCAGTGCACATCCTCGACAGGCCGTTTCTTGCCTTTACAATAAGTGTTGATGGTTGTGGACCATAGAACACATTGGTAACTGGTCTCCTTCCTGCAGGACCAGTGGGCCGCTCTGGAGCGCCTCTCTGCGGTCCGCAAAGCCAAACTACAGGAAGCCTGCAACCAGCACCAGTTCCAGGTCTGTCACTCCCTCATCTCTATGTCCAGATTTTACATCTGAGAGCCTTGTTTTTGATACTTGGTATATGGTATTTGGTACTATTTTGTCCTCTCTCTCTCAGGTCTCTCTCTGGTCTCTCTCACTCTCTGGTCTCTCTCTGGTCTCTCTCACTCTCTGGTCTCTCTCTGGTCTCTCTCACTCTCTGGTCTCTCTCTGGTCTCTCTCACTCTCTGGTCTCACTCTCTGGTCTCTCTCACTCTCTGGTCTCTCTCTGGTCTCTCTCACTCTCTGGTCTCACTCTCTGGTCTCTCTCTCTCTCTCTGGTCTCTCTCACTCTCTGGTCTCTCTCTCTCTCTCTGGTCTCTCTCACTCTCTGGTCTCTCTCTGGTCTCTCTCACTCTCTATCTCTCTGGTCTCTCTCACTCTCTATCTCTCTGGTCTCTCTCACTCTCTATCTCTCTGGTCTCTCTCACTCTATCTCTCTGGTCTCTCTCACTCTCTATCTCTCTGGTCTCTCTCACTCTCTATCTCTCTGGTCTCTCTCACTCTCTGGTCTCTATCTCTCTGGTCTCTCTGTCTCTCGGTCTCTCTCTCTGTGTCTCGGTCTCTCTCGGTCTCTCTCTCTCTCTGTCTCTCTCTCTCTCGGTCTCTCTCTCTCTCTCGGTCTCTCTCTCTCTCTCGGTCTCTCTCTCGGTCTCTCTCTCTGTGTCTCGGTCTCTCTCGGTCCCTCTCTCTCTCGGTCTCTCTCTCTCTCGGTCTCTCTCTCTCTCTCGGTCTCTCTCTCTCGGTCTCACTCTCTGACCGCTCTCTGGTCTCTCTCACTCTCTCTGGCCTCTCTCTCTGGTCTCTCTCTCTCTGGTCTCTCTCTCTCTGGTCTCTCTTTTTCTGGTCTCTCTTTTTCTGGTCTCTCTCTCTCTGGCCTCTCTCTCTCTCTCTGGTCTCTCTCTCTCTCTCTCTCTGGTCTCTCTCTCTCTCTCTGGTCTCTCTTTTTCTGGTCTCTCTCTCTGGTCTCTCTCTCTCTCTGGTCTCTCTCTCTCTTTTTCTGGTCTCTCTCTCTCACTCTCTCACTCTCTGGTCTTTCTCACTCCCTGGTCTCTCTCTGGTCTCTCTCTGGTCTCTTTCACTCTCTGGTCTCTATCTCTCTGGTCTCTCTCACTCTCTGGTCTCTATCTCTCTGGTCTCTCTCACTCTCTGGTCTCTATCTCTCTGGTCTCTCTCGGTCTCTCTCGGTCTCTCTCTCTCTCTGTCTCTCTGTCTCTCTCTGTCTCTCGGTCTCTCTCTCTGTGTCTCGGTCTCTCTCGGTCTCTCTCTCTCTCGGTCTCTCTCTCGGTCTCTCTCTCTCTCGGTCTCTCTCTCTCTCTCGGTCTCACTCTCTCTCGGTCTCACTCTCTGGTCTCTCTCTGGTCTCTCTCTCTGACCGCTCTCTGGTCTCTCTCACTCTCTCTGGCCTCTCTCTCTGGTCTCTCTCTCTCTGGTCTCTCTCTCTCTGGTCTCTCTCTCTCTGGTCTCTCTTTTTATGGTCTCTCTTTTTCTGGTCTCTCTCTCTCTGGCCTCTCTCTCTCTCTCTCTGGCCTCTCTCTCTCTCTCTCTGGTCTGTCTCTCTGGTCTCTCTCTCTCTGGTCTCTCTCTCTCTCTCTGGTCTCTCTTTTTCTGGTCTCTCTCTCTTTTTCTGGTCTCTCTCTCTCTGGCCTCTCTCACTCTCTCTGGTCTCTCTCTTTCTGTCCGGTCTCTCTCGTCTCAGAGCCTACTCTGGTCTCAGCTGGTATCTGTTGGATCAGTGAGGTCAGAACGTGGTCAGGTCTCGTCTCAAAACTTCAGGAAGCATTTTGGAGCTGGTGTTGTTGTAATTGTGCACATTAACATCTTCCTGGTGTCCCCCGTGTGCGTGACCCAGGCGGACGCAGACGACATGGACACCTGGATGCTGGACGTGCTCCGGATCGTGTCCTCGGTGGACGTGGGCCATGATGAGTTCTCGACCCAAGCTCTGGTGAAGAAGCACAAGGACGTGGCAGAGGAGATCTCCAGCTACAGACCGGTCATCGAGGCTCTGCACGAACAGTCCCGCACCCTGCCGCCCGAGAAGGCCAACTCTGAGGAGGTACTGAGGCTGTAGACCCAGGACTGAGGCTGTAGACCCAGGACTGAGGCTGTGGACCCAGGACTGAGGCTGTGGACCCAGGACTGAGGCTGTGGACCCAGGACTGAGGCTGTAGACCCAGGACTGAGGCTGTAGATCCAGGACTGAGGCTGTAGACCCAGGACTGAGGCTGTAGACCCAGGACTGAGGCTGTAGACCCAGGACTGAGGCTGTGGACCCAGGACTGAGGCTGTGGACCCAGGACTGAGGCTGTAGACCCAGGACTGAGGCTGTAGACCCAGGACTGAGGCTGTAGATCAAGGACTGAGGCTGTAGACCATCTCTCCTACAAATTAATGGACGGTTCCCAGTTACAAATTCACCTATTGTTGTCCAAGCTCCACTAAACCTATGTGTGATTTTAAACTGTTGTGTGTGTGTTTTTGTGTGTGTGTGTGTGTGTGGGTGTGTGTGTCTCTGTGTGTGTGTGTGTGTGTAGGTGCAGAGCAGGCTGGCTGGTATCGAGGAGCGGTACAGGGAGGTGGCGGAGCTGACGCGGCTGAGGAAGCAGGCGCTGCAGGACGCCCTGGCCCTGTACAGGATGATGTCTGAGGCCAACGCCTGCACGGTCTGGGTCGACGAGAAGGAGCAGTGGCTCAACAGCATGGACATCCCAGAGAAGCTGGAGGACCTGGAGGTGGTGCAGCACAGGTCAGTACCAGAGAGAGAGACCAGAGAGAGAGACCAGAGAGAGAGACCAGAGAGAGAGACCAGAGAGAGAGACCAGAGAGAGAGACCAGAGAGAGAGACCAGAGAGAGAGACCAGAGAGAGAGAGACCAGAGAGAGAGAGAGACCAGAGAGAGAGAGAGACCACAGAGAGAGAGAGACCAGAGGTGCAGGTACAGATGCTGGAGTCTCTCTGTCTGGTCTCACCGCTCTCCCGTCTCTCACCGCTCTCTCGTCTCCCTCTGACCTCACCGCTCTCTCGTCTCCCTCTGACCTCACCGCTCTCTTGTCTCTCTCTCCCCTCAGATTCGAGAGCCTGGAGCCGGAGATGAACAGCCAGGCTTCCCGGGTGGCGGTGGTGAACCAGGTGGCCCGGCAGCTCCTCCACAGCGGACACCCCAGTGAGAAGGAGATCAAGACCCAGCAGGACACCCTCAACACCAGGTAAGCACCAGATTACACTCCGAGGGAAGTGTGGCTTCATAATCCCACATAATCCAGACTACAGTGACCCGCTAATGCTGCGCTCTGATTAAACGGCCCCAAAACAAACAAAAAAAACTGCTCCATGAAGTCACTGGGATTGTTTAACTCACTGACTGCCAGCCATTTTTGATGATTTCACTCATTTTAAACACCCACAGAAAAATATTTGCTATGACTATGTGAAATGTGAAACCAGATTCTGAAAGATTGGATTGTCTACTTTCAGCAGCAAAAGAAAGTTTGTTTCTATCTAGTTTTGTTCTCCTGTAATCTCCAGTTGAAAAGAGGGAAGTTTGACAGAAATCACCGGTCTCAGAACTGGGAAACTGGGGGTCATCTCGTCCCAATATGTATTACCCTGAGGCGTTCCCAGGGTCTTCCTTAGGTCTCCTCCTGGTGGGACGTGCCCAGAACACCTCCCCATTGAGCGCACAGGAGGCATCCCAAAACACATCTCAACTGGCTCATCACCATGTGTAGGAACAGCGGCTCTACTCTGAGCTTCTCCCGTGTGACTTAGCTCCTCCCTCTATCTCTACGGGAGCACTCGGCCACTCTGCGTAGGAAACTCCACGACCTCGTCCTTTTGGTCATGATCCGAAGCTTATGACCAGAGGTGAGGGAGGAGACATAGAGCTCTGACTGCAGACGCTGCTCCCTCATGTCCAGAAGTGAGGGAGGCGATGCAAAATGAGTGGCATGTTGTGTATGGTGTGGACTCCAGAGCTCCGGCCCCAGAGCTCCGGCCCTAGAGCTCCGGCCCTAGAGCTCCGGCCCTAGAGCTCCGGCCCTAGAGCTCCGGCCCTAGAGCTCCGGCCCTAGAGCTCCGGCCCTAGAGCTCCGGCCCTAGAGCTCCGGCCCTAGAGCTCCGGCCCTAGAGCTCCGGCCCTAGAGCTCAGTTCTTGGACGTTGCTCAGTGTGTTCTGTCCCGTGTGCAGGTGGGGTCACTTCCGGGACTTGGTGGATCAGAAGAAGGACAGTCTGAACTCTGCTCTGGGCGTTCAGAACTACCACCTGGAGTGCAACGAGACCAAGTCCTGGATCAAGGAGAAGACCAAGGTACACACAGACACACACACACACACACACACAGACACACACACAGACACACACAGGGGTCTGCAGTGAGCGTGTGTGTCTCCTCAGGTCATCGAGTCCACGCAGGAGCTGGGGAACGACCTGGCCGGGGTCATGGCGCTGCAGAGGAAGCTGACCGGGATGGAGCGAGACCTGGCCGCCATCGAGGACAAGCTGAGCGACCTGGACAAGGAGGCCGAGAGGCTGGCCACGGAGCACCCAGACCAGTCCACCGCCATCAAGGGCCAGCTGGAGCAGATCCGGGGGGTCTGGGGGGAGATGAAGGTACGTCCGCTGTCAAAGTACGAGTGAGGTCTGTGGAGACCAAGCCCCTCCCCTTTATCAGTGAAATATACTTTAAAATGAGAAACATGCTTTCATTTACGAGCTAATGCTTTCATACTAAATGGTTAAAGGATGGTCCGGGCCTGATCCGTCTGTGTTTGAGCCTGTGAAACATGAACGCCGTGGAATAATGTCCTGTGTACACATATTACAGAGGATAGTGTGGTTTCCCTAGCCTGACTCTGGCCAGACCCATGTAGTCCGCTGCACTTCACACATGAGTCTGGTACTGAGCCATAGTGGTTGGATTTCAGAAGGCAGGGCCTTGTAAAAAAAAATCCTTGTATGTGATTGGATAGACCACTTGTCCGTTATCTTGAATGAAGTCTGCTTTCAACCACTCACATCGAAGCACACGGCTCCCATAGGTTGCCAAATCCCAGCAAGATTTTCCAACCCAAAATCTGCGAGAATACCCCAAAAAAAAAAACACTCAGTATGATTTTTTGGCTAAAAACGTAATGTAATCAACTTGGGCTATCATGATTCTGTTTATTGTCTTTCTGTTTATTTAATTCCTACAAGTCTCTTGGAAAAAAAATATGCGGGAACCACCGAACCTGGCAACCCTGCTGCATAGTGTGTAAACAGGAACACTGAACCAGTGCTTCAACCAAGGGCGTAGGTTTGCGTGGGGACCATGGGGACATGTCCCCACCAATATTTGGTGAGGACTAAAAAGTCCCCACCAAAATGACATGATGTCCCGTGACCCGGACGGTCCGGGACACATGTCTTCCGTTTGTGCACACGTCGCGCCTCCTCCTCGCCTCCAGAGCAACAGCAGCAGCAGCAGCACGTGACCCGTTCCGTTCTCTGCAGTGATTGGCTGTCTTCTTCAGCGCCAAACTGAAGCACTGAGCGACTGTTTAATTTTTAAAAGTTAGCCAGCGTGAAGCAAGTGTTTTTTTTTTCGTTCCCTGAGCGTTGTAGCACGTGAGTAATCAGAGGATAGTACTGTAGATCTATTACCATTCAAAGTACTTACGTTATTTCTAATCTGTCAGCGCACTGTTTAATGTTCCGAGGAGCTCACACGGCACAGAGACAGAACAGAACTGGCTCCAATAAAGAAACAGGTTGGTTGAAAGGCTGAAAAAATACTTATTGTGCTCTTACTATCCAAAATGTATAAGTGGGTGTGTTGTGTGAATCAGGATAAACTAGGGATGAAAATATTCCACGGATCCACGATTTACAACCTTTATCTGCTGATAATGTAATTTCTGTGAAATGTTTGACAGCGGGCACTTGCTGTTATTTGCTCTAAGCACATTCAAGCGATGCACTCGAATGTGCACGTCCTGGTGCAGCTGCTGCCGCTTTGTAATGACAGCCGCGGCGCTCAGTGAAAGCACAGCTCTAACATGGTACCGAGCTCGGACCATATGCAGACAGAACCATGTTGCAAGTGCGGGTCTCCCCCGTTTCTCCCCCGTTTCTCCCCTGTGTCTCTGACATGTCTCTCCCCTGACTCTTCCCAAAGCGCAACCAGCGCTCCCGAAATTAAAGCTCGGATACCTAAATTTTCCATTGCGTTAACGATGCATGCTGGTTGTGCGCAAAACACACCACAACAGGTCATTTAAGTTTTTATTTTGCTTGAGAGCCCTGTGAGTCATTACTTGCCTTTTTGGGTTGAGAGTGGAATTAAAAAAAAGAAAATATAGAAAAATCCACACTGTTACTTATTGCCAAACTCTTGTTAACTCATTGTATTGAGAAATACTATGTAACTTTTGACATTGGCCAAGTTATATAAATGATTCTGCAGTTCATGTATATGAATGTCTGTTTTTGATTTTCTATACCTTCTTATATAATTTAGAAAAAATGCCACCTCCACAAAAAAAGATAAAAGATATCAGGAGCTTTTTTAACAGTTGGAAAGTAAGTAAGAGAAAGCACAAGTAATAGCAAATTATGAATTGTGATGATTAATCTTCTGTTAACATACATAGGAAACTCAACCAACAAGAGAGAACAATATAGGGAATGTTGAGGTAGAAGCAACAGGCCCTTCAGTGCATCAGGCGAGGTTGGAATTTTGTAGGTATGCATGGGACTATGAATTGTTTTTAGAGATTGATCGTATATGTCAAACAATGTAGTGAGATACTCACTGTAGATTCTAATTAAATATTTTCTCCTCTGACTATTAGAACAAATCCTTAACTGCTTCTCATTCAGTCTACAGCTGAGTTTAGTATAGAAGGCAACACACTATTGCAAATATAGTGTGTGATTACACAACAAATTCTGGGGGAGAAACTCTGGACCCCGTGTCAATGGGTGTAGACTCAGGTCGTAGTGAATGTCCCCACCAAGATTGGAACCAAACCTACACCATTGGCTTCAACCAAACTTTACAGGAACATTTGACTCTTAAAACACACATATATCAACATAGAACCATCAACATCTCGCCTCAAATTGCATTAAAAGTGACCTCCGTGTCTTAATTCGATCGAATTTACTAAAGATTTGTGGACTTTACATCCGCCATCTTGGATTCCTCTCGCTGCTGCATGAGAGAAGCTTGAGAAGGCAGTGCAAACCCCACGTAACACCGGAAATCCTGATTGGTCGATTAAAAAATAATCTGGGGAAGGCGTTCGCTATGGGCTCGATACCAGACCCATGTGGTTCAGCCAAACGCCTCTGGTGGAGCATGGCGGAACTACAAGGGTCTGGCAGAGCCAGGCTATGGTTTCCCTGCAGCTAAATACAAAGTCTAAATGTTAAGTGTAATCTAAGCTCATACTGAGGTGTGCTGTTTCTCAGGACACCATGAAGAACCGGGAGGAGTCTCTGGGAGAGGCCTCCAAGCTGCAGCAGTTCCTGCGGGAGCTGGATGACTTCCAGTCGTGGCTGTCCCGCACTCAGACGGCCATCGCCTCCGAGGACATGCCCAACACTCTGACCGAGGCCGAGAAGCTGCTGGCCCAGCACGAGAACATCAAGAACGAGATCCGCAACTACGAGGAGGACTACCAGAAGATGAGGGACATGGGGGAGATGGTGACGCAGGACCAGACGGACGCTCAGTACATGTTCCTGAGGCAGAGGCTGCAGGCGCTGGACACAGGCTGGAACGAGCTGCACAAGATGTGGGAGAACAGACAGAGCCTCCTGTCCCAGTCCCACGCCCACCAGCTCTTCCTCCGGGACACCAAGCAGGCAGAGGCCTTCCTCAACAACCAGGTATGACCCTCAGAGATGAGGCCTTCCTCAACAACCAGGTATGACCCTCAGAGGTGACAGACTCTTGTATACGGTCCTCTCCCTCATTGTTCCATAATGACTCTTTGTCTAAAACAAGAGCATCAGGATTTCTATGATTGGAGCTAAAATAGACCAAAATTCAAAATGCTTTGTGGTTTTTAGAGCACTGGACTAACTGCTCATATTCTTACTCCAAGTGAACAACACCAGTGTAGTATTTGGTCATAGATATGGTATTGGAAACAGGATATGACCTGCGAGTGTTAGTGACCTGGACCTCCTCTCGCCCTCCCCCCTCAGGAGTACGTGCTGGCCCACACGGAGATGCCCACCACGCTGGAGGGGGCGGAGGCGGCCATCAAGAAGCAGGAGGACTTTATGACCACGATGGACGCCAACGAGGAGAAGATCGGAGCTGTGGTGGACTCAGGGCGCCGCCTGGTCTCCGACGGCAACATCAACGCAGACCGCATCCAGGAGAAAGTGGACTCCATCGAGTCCAGGTAGACCCGGCTATGGCTCCGGCCCTGGCCCTGGCCCCGGCCTCTGGCCCGGCTCTGGCCCCTTCCCTGTGACTCCTGACCCATTGCCATACAGACATTTATTATGGTTTGTGCATGAACTGAAGCAAACACTGAGGAGGGATGTGCCACTATTGGATTCCACCTCCAGACAGAACCTTTTAGTGTGGGGTTTGCATGTTCTCCCCGTGTCTGCGTGGGTTTCCTCCGGGTGCTCCGGCTTCTTCATCTCAGACTCATGTATGTTTTCAGACGTAAGAAAAACCGAGAAGCTGCGACTGAGCTGTTGATGAGGCTGAAGGACAACAGAGACCTGCAGAAGTTCCTCCAGGACTGTCAAGAGGTATCACCCTGCCTCACCCCCTCCCCCACTGCCTCACCCTTTTATCCTCTCACCCTTTGATCCTCTCACCCTCTGAATCTCTCACCCTCTCCTACTGCCTCACCCTCTCTCACTGCCTCACCCTCTCACTCTCTCACCCTCTCCCCTCTCCCTATTTCCCTCTGTGTGCCTCTTCACCCGTCTCTCCCCCTCTGTGTGCCTCTTCACCCGTCTCTCCCCCTCTGTGTGCCTCTTCACCCGTCTCTCCCCCTCTGTGTGCCTCTTCACCCGTCTCTCCCCCTCTGTGTGCCTCTTCACCCGTCTCTCCCCCTCTGTGTGCCTCTTCACCCGTCTCTCTCCCTCTGTGTGCCTCTTCACCCGTCTCTCTCCCTCTGTGTGCCTCTTCACCCGTCTCTCCCCCTCTGTGTGCCTCTTCACCCGTCTCTCCCCCTCTGTGTGCCTCTTCACCCGTCTCTCCCCCTCTGTGTGCCTCTTCACCCGTCTCTCCCCCTCTGTGTGCCTCTTCACCCGTCTCTCTCCCTCTGTGTGCCTCTTCACCCGTCTCTCCCCCTCTGTGTGCCTCTTCACCCGTCTCTCCCCCTCTGTGTGCCTCTTCACCCGTCTCTCCCCCTCTGTGTGCCTCTTCACCCGTCTCTCTCCCTCTGTGTGCCTCTTCACCCGTCTCTCCCCCTCTGTGTGCCTCTTCACCCGTCTCTCTCCCTCTGTGTGCCTCTTCACCCGTCTCTCCCCCTCTGTGTGCCTCTTCACCCGTCTCTCTCCCTCTGTGTGCCTCTTCACCCGTCTCTCTCCCTCTGTGTGCCTCTTCACCCGTCTCTCTCCCTCTGTGTGCCTCTTCACCCGTCTCTCTCCCTCTGTGTGCCTCTTCACCCGTCTCTCTCCCTCTGTGTGCCTCTTCACCCGTCTCTCCCCTCTGTGTGCCTCTTCACCCGTCTCTCCCCCTCTGTGTGCCTCTTCACCCGTCTCTCCCCCTCTGTGTGCCTCTTCACCCGTCTCTCTCCCTCTGTGTGCCTCTTCACCCGTCTCTCTCCCTCTGTGTGCCTCTTCACCCGTCTCTCCCCCTCTGTGTGCCTCTTCACCCGTCTCTCCCCCTCTGTGTGCCTCTTCACCCGTCTCTCCCTCTGTGTGCCTCTTCACCCGTCTCTCCCCCTCTGTGTGCCTCTTCACCCGTCTCTCTCCCTCTGTGTGCCTCTTCACCCGTCTCTCCCCCTCTGTGTGCCTCTTCACCCGTCTCTCTCCCTCTGTGTGCCTCTTCACCCGTCTCTCTCCCTCTGTGTGCCTCTTCACCCGTCTCTCTCCCTCTGTGTGCCTCTTCACCCGTCTCTCTCCCTCTGTGTGCCTCTTCACCCGTCTCTCCCCCTCTGTGTGCCTCTTCACCCGTCTCTCCCCCTCTGTGTGCCTCTTCACCCGTCTCTCCCCCTCTGTGTGCCTCTTCACCCGTCTCTCTCCCTCTGTGTGCCTCCTCACCCGTCTCTCCCCCGTCCTCACCCGTCTCCCCCTCTGTGTGACAGCTGTCTCTGTGGATCAATGAGAAGATGCTGACGGCTCAGGACATGTCGTACGACGAGGCCCGTAACCTCCACAGTAAATGGCTGAAGCACCAGGCCTTCATGGCCGAGCTGGGCTCCAACAAGGAGTGGCTCGACAAGATTCAGAAGGTACGACGAGTCACAGTCACATGACCACACACGGCTGTACATCTGGGGATACAGGCGTCATCCTAATGAGTGGTATTATGTAAAGCCAGCTCTACTCTACTCTACTCTGCTCTGCTCTGCTCTGCTCAGCTCTACTCTGCTCTACTCTGCTCTACTCAGCTCTACTCTACTCTACTCTACTTTACTCTACTCTACTCTACTCTACCTGGTTGCATTTCCATTGTGCTTCATTATATGGTACCGTATCCTAGCAACCTACCCACAACAAACCAGTATCTGGGGAAATTCCTTGGTGCCAATGGCTTCCAGCAGCATTCTGGCCAATCACTGTCAGTTAGAATACTTTAGTGTCAGCTCTGTTTAACCGTTGCTGGTACTCAAAGGTACTTGGGACTGGTTTATGATGGCCGCTGGAAATGCTCCCAAACCGGGGACAGGAGATAGGGCTGAGGAGACCGGGCTTATGGCAAACACTACATCAGCAATAATTATAAGCACAAAGAATGAAACATGACTTAAATATGTGTGTGTCTGTGTTCTGTGTGTGTCTGTCTCTGTGTCTGTCTGTGTGTGTGTCTGTCTCTGTGTCTGTCTGTGTGTGTGTCTGTGCGTTTGTCTCTGTGTCTGTGTGTGTGTCTGTGTGTGTGTGTCTGTGTTCTGTGTCTGTCTGTCTGTGTGTGTCTGTCTCTGTGTGTGTGTGTGTCTGTGTCTGTCTCTGTGTGTGTCTGTGTGTGTGTGTCTGTGTTTTGTGTCTGTCTGTCTGTGTGTGTCTGTCTCTGTGTCTGTCTGTGTCTGTGTCTGTCTGTGTCTGTGTGTGTGTGTCTGTGTTCTGTGTCTGTCTGTCTGTGTGTGTCTGTCTCTGTGTGTGTGTGTGTGTGTGTGTCTGTGTCTGTCTCTGTGTGTGTCTGTGTGTGTGTGTCTGTGTTTTGTGTCTGTCTGTCTGTGTGTGTCTGTCTCTGTGTCTGTCTGTGTCTGTCTGTGTCTGTGTGTGTGTGTCTGTGTTCTGTGTCTGTCTGTCTGTGTGTGTGTGTGTGTGTGTGTCTGTCTCTGTGTGTGTGTGTTTGTCTGTGTGTGTCTGTCTCTGTGTGTGTGTGTCTGTCTGTGCCTGTCTGTGCCTGTCTGTGTCTGTCTGTGTGTGTCTGTCTCTGTGTGTGTCTGTCTCTGTGTGTGTGTGTGTCTGTCTGTGCCTGTCTGTGCCTGTCTGTGCCTGTCTGTGTCTGTCTGTGTGTGTCTGTCTCTGTGTGTGTGTGTGTGTGTGTGTGTGTGTATCTGTGTCTTCCAGGACGGCGAGGCCCTGATGTTGGAGAAGCCTGAGACCTCTGCGATGGTGAAGGAGAAGCTGTCGTCGCTGAAGAGCATGTGGGGCGACCTGGAGAGCACCACGCAGACCAAAGCTAAGTGTCTGTTCGACGCTAACAAAGCCGAGCTGTTCACCCAGAGCTGCGCCGACCTCGACAAGTGGCTGGAAAACCTGGACGGACAACTGATCTCTGACGACTACGGCAAAGACCTCACCTCCGTCAACATCCTGCTCAAGAAGCAGCAGGTGAGAGAGCTGAGGGAGGGGGGAGAGAGCGGAGGGAGCTGAGGCCAAGAGGGGAGGGGAGGGAGAGAGCTGAAGCCAGGAGGGGAGGGAGGGGTGGGAGCAGAGGGAGAGCTGAGGACAGGAGGGGAGGGGAGAGAGCTGAGGCCAGGAGGAGAGCGAGAACTGGGGGAGGAGAGCGAGAGCGGAGAGAGAGAGAGCTGAGGCTGAGGGGAGAGAGCTGGGGGAGGGGAGGGGAGAGCTGAGGCCAGGAGGGGAGGGAGCTGAGGGAGGGGAGGGAGAGAGCAGAGGGAGAGCTGAGGACAGGAGGGGAGGGGAGAGAGCTGAGGGAGGGGAGAGCTGAGGCCAGGAGGAGAGCAAGAACTGGGGGAGGAGAGCGAGAGCGGAGAGAGAGAGAGCTGAGGCTGAGGGGAGAGAGCTGGGGGAGGGGAGGGGAGAGCTGAGGCCAGGAGGGGAGGGAGCTGAGGGAGGGGAGGGAGAGAGCAGAGGGAGAGCTGAGGACAGGAGGGGAGGGGAGAGAGCTGAGGGAGGGGAGAGCTGAGGCCAGGAGGAGAGCGAGAACTGGGGGAGGAGAGCGAGAGCGGAGAGAGAGAGAGCTGAGGCTGAGGGGAGAGAGCTGGGGGAGGGGAGGGGAGAGCTGAGGCCAGGAGGGGAGGGAGCTGAGGGAGGGGAGAGAGAGGGGAGAGAGAGCTGAGGTAGGGGAGGGAGAGAGCTGAAGGAGGGGAAAGCTGAGGGATGGGAGGGGAGAGAGTGGAGGGAGGGAGCTGAGGCCAGGAGGGGCGCGAGAGAGCTGGGAGAGGGGAGAGCTGAGGGAGGGGAGGGAGAGAGAGCGGAGGGGAGAGCTTAGGGAGGGGAAGGGAAGGGAGGGAGAGAGCGGAGGCCAGCAGGTGAGAGAGATGAGGCTGAGGAGAGAGAGCGGAGGCCAGGAGGGGTTGGCTTTATAGATAGATTTTTGATAGATTTTTGATAGATTTTTCCCGTTTATTCGGCTCGAGTCTGGATCTTTTTTCTTCGTCTCTTTCTCTGAACAAATTGAGTTCAGTTTTGTTTTGATCGAATTGAAACTGGAACAAACCACAGAACGGAAGGATTGAGAAGCACTAAAAACAGTCTAAATGGCGCCCTCTGTTGGTTGTTTTTAGAACTGTAATTTATGAATATGTTCAGACCTCAGACATGACTGCAGTAAACGATTCAGAATGATCAGTGTGTTTTAGTTTGTACTGCTGCGTTACCGTGACAACACAGACTGCACTGCAAAACATGAGGAAATATGAATCATTATTGCTTGAATCAAGTGGTTTTTAATCTTAATTTGAGTTAATTCTGACTGTGTTAACAAAAGCAATCATTTTGCTTTTGTCTCATTTGCAAATCTTGTTTTAAGGCACAGTCAGAATGTTCTAAAGTGAAGATACATTTTGCCAAATTTGAGCAATTTCTGACTTATTTGTGACCAGCGTCTGCAGTGTAGCCCGTGTGTAGTGAAAGCCTGACCCCTGACCCCTAACCCCTGCTGTGTGCTCAGATGCTGGAGAGCCAGGTGGAGGTGCGGCAGAAGGAGGTGGGGGAGCTCCAGTCCCAGTCCCACGCCCTGAGTCAGGAGGGCAAAGGCTCCGAGGAGGTGGACGGCCAGCGGGTCAGCGTGGAGAGGAGGTTCCACACGCTCCAGGAGCCGCTGCAGAGGAGGAGAGACATGCTCATGGCCTCCAGAGAGATCCACCAGTTCAACCGCGACGTGGAAGACGAGATCGTGAGTCCTTCTGTCCAACTCCCACAGCTTAAAGGAGCAGTGTGTAAACATGTGGCCGAAAGTGGTACTGCAGCCTCTCCCACTCTCCCTGACATGGGTTGCCAGATATGCAGACGAATCCTTCTTCTTTAACTCAAGAAACCCATTCGATCCAAATGTATTTGTATAACACAGTTCATACAGAGTGCCCAAAGTGCTTCACACAGACCCTCACACACTTCAAATCCACCTCAGAGGATGTTGTGGTTTTCAAGGTGGATTTTGAATCAGTTTTGTTCAGTTTATTATAAATACAAAATAAAATCATGAATTCATAATCAGTGACATAGCATATTTTGTAAATGGGACACCCTTGAAGCAACGTTATTATCTGTTTTTTACCTGTTTTATAATTGTTTTCAAAATGCACTTTTACTTGTATTTAAGTCTCCCTTGAGCACCAAGAATGGCTCCTAAGAATTAAACTGAATCATAACATTTAAAACCACCACAGACACAGTTGCATATGTTTAGGATTCAGTCGGTGCTGGAGCAGCTGCAGAGGACCTCAGACCTCACTACAGTCACCTTCACAAAGATAACCCTGGCTCTGCTCCAGGGAAGGGTGTGTGTTCCCTCAGGCAGTGGCGCCCCCTGCTGGTGTCTGTGTGACAGTGACACACACTCGCACTGTTGGACTTTGGTCAAATCCAGTCTTCTGGATGAGCTCCTGGTTAAAAATGCACCACTGGATTAAAGTAGTTTGTGATTTTCCACTTGATAAAAGAGAGTCCAACACAGTTTAAGCCACATTTTTATTCATTTTTTTATTCATTTTACATTTCACTAAAATTTCACTTTTTTCTGGATATTGAGCTGTAAGATGCTCTTTACATGATGGACTTAGAACTCTCCTCTTTTCTCTCTCCCTCTTCATCCCCTCTCCCCACTCTTCCCACTCTTCCCACTCTCCTCTCTCTCCCCTCTCCCCTCTTCATCCTCTCTCTCTGCTCTTCTCCTCTTTCTCCTCTCTCCTCTCTCTCTCCTCTCTCTCCTCTCTCCCTCCCCTCTCTCCCCCCTCTCCCCTTCTGTCTGCAGCTGTGGGTGGAGGAGAGGATGCCCATTGCCACCTCCACAGATCACGGACACAACCTGCAAACTGTACAACTGCTCATCAAGAAGAACCAGGTGACACTGCAGGAACACACACACACACACACACAATACATACACACAGACACACACACACACACCCCCACACACACACACACACAGAGACACACACAATACACAGACACACACACACACACACACACGTAACTTTAGCATAAAAATAAGAAAGAAAAAGAAGCCAGTATGAAATCTCTAAGATCATAAATGGTGGTGGTGGCTCCTCAGACGCTGCAGAAGGAGGTGCAGGGGCACCAGCCGCGCTACGACGACATCTTTGAGCGCAGCCAAAACGTGCTGCGGCAGAGCTCGCCGACCGCAGACGCCATCCGCCTGCGCCTCGCCGAGCTGCAGGCGCTGTGGGCCCAGATCCGCCACGAGACCGAGAAGAGACACACGCGCCTCAGCGAGGCCCACGAGGCCCAGCAGTACTACTTTGACGCCGCTGAGGCCGAGGCCTGGATGAGCGAGCAGGAGCTGTACATGATGTCAGAGGAGAAGGCCAAGGTCAGGACCGGACTGGACAGGGACTGGACAGGGACTGGACAGGGACTAGACAGGGACTGGACAGGGACTGGACAGGGACTGGACTGGGACTGGACAGGGACTGGACAGGGACTAGACAGGGACTGGACAGGGACTAGACAGGGACTGGACAGGGACTAGACAGGGACTGGACAGGGACTAGACAGGGACTGGACAGGGACTAGACAGGGACTGGACTGGGACTGGACAGGGACTGGACAGGGACTAGACAGGGACTGGACAGGGACTAGACAGGGACTGGACAGGGACTAGACAGGGACTGGACTGGGACTGGACTGGGACTGGACTGGAAGCCGCTAATATATTAGTTGTACAATAGGTCTGTGCCTCCTGTACTGGCCCCTCCCATCTCTGTGTGGAGAGACAGACTAATGTAACAATTGTAAATGGCTTTGACTCTGGTTATTATTATTATTATTATTATTATATAAATAAGCATTACTTACTAATTGTGTGTTGTGTGTCCAGGACGAGCAGAGCTCTGTGGCGATGCTGAAGAAGCACCAGATCCTGGAGCAGGCCGTGGAGGACTACGCAGACACTGTTCACCAGCTGTCCTCCACCAGCAGGGGGCTGGTGGGGGCCGGACACCCAGACAGGTACCGCTGCTAACACACCCAGACAGGTACCGCTGCTAACACACCCAGACAGGTACCGCTGCTAACACACCCAGACAGGTACCGCTGCTAACACACCCAGACAGGTACCGCTGCTAACACACCCAGACAGGTACCGCTGCTAACACACCCAGACAGGTACCGCTGCTAACACACCCAGACAGGTACCGCTGCTAACACACCCAGACAGGTATCTGTAAAATACCATCTTTACTGACATCTCACATAACGGCCGCACGTGCGCGGGTCTCCCCGCTTCACGCAGTCCAGAGAGTCGCGTCTGACCACAGTATGTGGTTCTACAGTCTATAGACCACTGCCAGTAAGATACGTGCGAGCCGACAAATGGTCTGCAGCAACACGTCTGTACTGTATAAGGACAGAGGGCAGAGTAAACGTACAAACACAACCCATCGCTCTGATCATTCAGTGTCAGTGAACACATTACACTGTCCTCTACACCTCTCCACAGACCTCACAGAGACAGCAGCAGCCGTGACTCCGCAGCTGTGTACACAGCCGCAATCCGTGACTCCTCTGCTCACTGACAAAAACAAGGCAGAAAGTCAAGCGAAAGTGGCAATCACGATCACAGTCACTGACATGTAGATTCTCACGGGATTAGTATCATCACAGTCTGTTTGGACAAATACAGGTCATTTGCGTTTGAAAATATACTAAATTAGAGCGAATAGAGATGAAGTAAACAAACTTGTTTCACTTCCGGGAAATCGATTGACGCCGAAATGTATGAAATACATTTTAAAAAAGGTTAATCATTGCATTTTCTAGTTCCCAAATCTGGTTATTATAATATATATATGTCTTATAAGCAATGAAGAAAACTAAATTTTTGAATATTGCTGTGTTCCTGAAAATGCAAAATAGCCTTTTTTTGATTTTCCATTTCCCTTCAGAAATAGAAAATGCATTAAACGCAAAAGTACACAAACCATTCTAAATGCATGATTCTAAATGCATGATTCCAAATGCATGATTCTAAATGCATGATTCCAAATGCATGATTCTAAATGCATGATTCCAAATGCATGATTCTAAATGCATGATTCTAAATGTATGATTCTAAATGCATGATTCTAAATGCATGATTCCAAATGCATGATTCCAAATGCATGATTCTAAATGTATGATTCTAAATGCATGATTCCAAATGTATGATTCTAAATGCATGATTCTAAATGCATGATTCCAAATGTATGATTCTAAATGCATGATTCTAAATGCATGATTCTAAATGCATGATTCTAAATGCATGATTCTAAATGAAAGCCTGCCCTCTCCTGGTTGCAGCGAGCGCATCGGCATGCGGCAGTCGCAGGTGGACAAACTGTACGCGGGCCTCAAGGACCTGTCGGAGGAGCGCAGAGGGAAACTGGACGAGCGCTTCAGGCTGTTCCAGCTCAACAGAGAAGTGGACGACCTGGAGCAGTGGATCGCAGAGAGGGAGGTGGTGGCCGGGTCCCACGAGCTGGGGCAGGACTACGAGCACGTCACTGTGAGTCCTGTTCTGTTATCAGTGTGTGTAAGGGCTGTTTGACCAATCAGGAGAGAGATGGGGCTGGACCACAGAGTGAAGGGGCCAACAAGTGCTAAGCATCATGGGAACTCCTTCCAGACTGTTGGAGACTATTTCAGGTCTTGTTGAAGCTCATCCAGAGAATGCCAAGAGTGAAGCAGCATCAGAGCAAAAGGAGCTACTTTGAAGAACCAGAATAAAACACATATTTACACTTGGTTCATACTTTTTTACTACGAACATCATTCACATGAGTTCATCATAGGTTTGATGCCCTCAGTGTCAGTCTACAGTTTTCATAATCATGAAAATAAAAAACCTCGGGGCCTCTAAATACTCTTGTCTTCTTTAAAGCCTGGTGTATGCTCGCGCGGCGCTGGTTACGGTGATCCTTGCGAGTGGCGTCACCACCGTAAGCGCCGCGCGACTTTACACCAGGCTTTAGTTTTACCTCTGAATAACAAATGCCCCCCCTCCTCTTGTTACCCTCAGATGCTGCAGGAGCGTTTCCGGGAGTTCGCCCGCGACACAGGGACCATCGGTCAGGAGCGTGTGGACGCCGTGAACAGGCTGGCGGACGAGCTGATCAACGCGGGCCATGGGGACGCCGCCACCATCGCAGAGTGGAAGGACGGTCTGAACGAGGCCTGGGCCGACCTGCTGGAGCTCATCGACACACGCACGCAGATCCTGGCCGCCTCCTTCGAGCTGCACAAGTTCTACCACGACGCCAAAGAAATCCTCAACCGCATCCTCGACAAACACAAGAAGCTCCCAGAAGAACTGGGCCGAGACCAGAACACCGTGGAGACGCTGCAGCGCATGCACACCACCTTCGAACACGACATCCAGGCCCTCGGGACGCAGGTGGGACTGGAGAGTGTGGGGGGGGGGGTCAATGTGGTCAATGTCAGCCAGCCAACTCCACCATCAGCCGTAGACTACATACTGACTTTGTTTTTGCTCGTCTGTGCAGGTGCGGCAGCTACAAGAGGACGCTGTGCGCCTGCAGTCTGCGTACGCCGGGGACAAAGCAGACGACATCCAGAAGAGAGAGGGAGAGGTGAGTCCTGAGGCTCCGCCCACAGCATGTGACGTCTGTCATGTGACGCATGCTGCACTGCCTCTGCACCACTGTCCACGTGTAGGACCTGTTCACCACTGAAGTAGAGCCCTGCACGGGCCTATTATCTGGGCCCGAGCCCGGCCCTGGCCCGAGGGGGTGGCGCCCCAGCCCGGCCCGGCCCGATATGGTTTCTGAATTTTCAGGCCCGAAACCCGCATCAAGCCCGCCTTTTTTTTTTTTTTTGTAACCTCCCATAACAATGTTTTAGCGTAGTATATAGTGCCGCGCACTGATATGAACGCAGACTTAGCTAGAGGGCGGAGTTATACATGGTAGTGATGTGTTGCAATGAGTTCTGTGTGTGCGGAGTGGTGCAGAGTGAACATCTGTATGATACACAGCTGTATGATACACAGCTGTATGATGCCCAGATGCTGCAACACATCTGCACATTACATAAGTAATGCTATGTGCCGTCAATGACGACACTACACAGAACAACAAACACTACAGCGTGATAGAACGCTATATTCAGTGGGTGCGTTCGTAAATGTATTCTGCCGCTCTGAAAATGAAGAGCCCGAGCCCGGCCCGTGTCCGAGGTCATTATGCGGTCATCGGCCCGAAGCCCGGCCCTCGGGCTGTCGGGCCGTCGGGGCCCTCGGGCCAAGGGCTCAAGTGCAGGGATCTACACTGAAGGGGTTTATACGACAGGCCATGTTTCCAGGCAGCGCAGGCACCTGCGAGAGGAAAGGAGCTAGTGTATGGAAGCTAGTGTGCAGGAGCTAGTGTGCAGGAGCTAGTGTGCAGGAGCTAGTGTATAGGTGCTAGTGTATAGGTGCTAGTGTATAGGAGCTAGTGTATAGGAGCTAGTGTATAGGAGCTAGTGTATAGGAGCTAGTGTCGGACTAATGGAGACGTGGTGGTGCTAGCATACAGGGCATGGTCAAAATACATGACACTGAGAATCCACGATCTGATGTGGAGCCAGAGGAGTCAGAGGAGTCAGAGGAGTCAGAGGAGTCAGAGGAGTCAGAGGAGTCAGAGTGAGCCAGAGTGAGCCAGAGTGAGCCAGAGTGAGCCAGAGTGAGCCAGAGTGAGCCAGAGGAGCCAAAACTTGAGCTTTACTGTTGTTTCATGTGTTCTGACCATTGCCTGTATGTATTTATATTTTTATATATTTATGTATGTTTGCCGCTCCTCCAGAGGAGGACGGGAGAGGTGAGACTCTAAAGCTTTGCATCCCTGTGGCTGCGATGTTAAACTGTTAAACTTGACTAAAATGTCTCATTTTAGCCTCATGCAGCGCTGGCACAGACGCAAACATCCAGGTCTGAGCTCAGGACCCGTGGATTTTGCGGAGCTCCCTCCCCTGCTTCCAACACAGTGTTTCTGCATGAGAGAGGCCCCTGTGTGAGAGAGGCCCCTGTGTGAGAGAGGCCCCTGTGTGAGAGAGGCCCCTGTGTGAGGGAGACCCCTGTGTGAGGGAGACCCCTGTGTGAGGGAGGCCCCTGTGTGAGGGAGGCCCCTGTGTGAGGGAGACCCCTGTGTGAGGGAGACCCCTGTGTGAGGGAGACCCCTGTGTGAGGGAGACCCCTGTGTGAGGGAGGCCCCTGTGTGAGGGAGGCCCCTGTGTGAGGGAGGCCCCTGTGTGAGGGAGACCCCTGTGTGAGGGAGGCCCCTGTGTGAGGGAGGCCCCTGTGTGAGAGAGGCCCCTGTGTGAGGGAGGCCCCTGTGTGAGGGAGGCCCCTGTGTGAGAGAGGCCCCTGTGTGAGGGAGACCCCTGTGTGAGGGAGACCCCTGTGTGAGGGAGACCCCTGTGTGAGGGAGGCCCCTGTGTGAGGGAGGCCCCTGTGTGAGGGAGGCCCCTGTGTGAGGGAGGCCCCTGTGTGAGGGAGGCCCCTGTGTGAGGGAGGCCCCTGTGTGAGGGAGGCCCCTGTGTGAGGGAGGCCCCTGTGTGAGGGAGGCCCCTGTGTGAGAGAGGCCCCTGTGTGAGAGAGGCCCCTGTGTGAGAGTATCCTAGTTCATACAGTATGTGTTCAGATGAGGGGGTCTGGTGGGATTGTGCTGCAGTGTGTAACATGAGCTAGAGCTGCTTCTGCGCCTGAAGGTTATAGGCTCCATGTAAGGACTGGCTTCATGTAAACATGGCACACCTCTGTAGGACTATGACCTCTGCGTTGGCATCTCTTCAACCATGGCCCGTGTGTTGTGCTACACACATGCAGTAGACTCCAGATGGACCCACATCCTCTTGTCCCAGTGCATTGTGGTTCGCATGAGTGAAGTTTCAGAGCGGGGGATTCCAAACCGTTCATACTTTGGGATTCCTCTTTCTGTAAAAATATAAAACCGTAGACATCTTCAAATTCACAAATAATGAGTTAGAACTTAACATTTGTGGGCTTAAAATGTCTGAGCTGTTGTGGTTGTCCCTGATGCATGTGTGTGTGAGTTGTGTACCTGTGCTCTCAGGTGCTGGAGGCCTGGAAGAGCCTGCTGGAGGCCGCCGAGGGCCGCAGGGTCAAGCTGCTGGACACTGGGGACAAGTTCCGCTTCTTCAGTATGGTCCGGGACCTCATGTTGTGGATGGAGGACGTGATCCGGCTCATCGAGGCCCAGGAGAAGCCCAGGTACAACACACAAAATGATACATAAAACCACATGTGTGACTGTGTCCCAGAGCCTCATGCTGCTAATGCTAATGCTAATGCTAACATGTACAGATACATACAGCTATATACTTATGCAGTAGAATATCTAGTGTTTTATACTTGCGTCTTTATTATTATTAAGTTTGTGTGTGTGGTTGTTTGTGTGTGTGTGTGTGTCAGGGATGTGTCGTCCGTGGAGCTCCTCATGAACAACCATCAGGGCATCAAGGCCGAGATCGACGCCCGCAACGACAGCTTCACGTCCTGCATCGAGCTCGGCAAGGCTCTGCTGGCACGGAAACACTACGCTTCAGAAGAGGTACACACATATACACACACACACACACAAGCAAACACTACGCTTCAGAAGAGGTACACACACACACACACACACAGTGAGATATAAGGACCTACAACACACACATCAGGTCTGAGTGAGATATTTATCAATAGTTTTTAATAGCTTTTTTCACAGAGAATAACTTTGTTGATGGACAAATATATTTGACCTAATTTTTCAAGATTTCTTTTATACATGTTTGTGTTTTTTCACACCTCAATCTTAACTATATATTTTTTAAATATTTTAAATCCTTATTTAAACATGATGTTCCTTTGGGGGTAAGGATGTTCTTTCAGGGAACCTTTTGTACATTTTTTTACCCAGAGGAAACTTACTGACACAAGGAGTTGCATGTTCTCCTTGTGTCAGTAAGTTTCCTCTGGGTAAAAAAATGTACAAAAGGTTCCCTGAAAGAACATTCTCCACTCAGTCACTCACTACTTAAGTATGTTTATAAATTAGCTTGAGCCAATATTTTGGCCATTCTTCCCACCTCTGGGAATGTATTTCAGTTTGTGACAAAATATGTGACATATGAGGACAAGTGTGTGTGTGTTTTAAAGTGTGTTATGTAGTTCCGTGCACGGCCATAGGGGGCGTATCAAACTTTTTGGGACAGTGTATTTTGGCCCCACTACACATTTTCACTATTTGTAGACATTTTGGCACATGCTTGATTTGGTGTTGAGCTTGTTCTGGGCCTCTACAACACTATAGTATGGATGGGAAAATGGGGACCTGAAAAATGTCCCTGTTTTTACTTAGGTCCTCATGTTGAAGGTGTGTTATCATACTTAAGTCCTCATTTGTAGAGAAAACAAACGCACACACACATTAATCTCGCACACACAGGCAAACACTACGCTTCAGAAGAGGTACACACACACACTATAGTTCAGTAGAGGTACACACATATACAAACACTCACACAAGCAAAACTACGCTTCAGAAGAGATTATCACAAACTCACACTGAACATTTTAAACACGCACTGAACACACACACACACACACACACACAGAGAGAGACTGTAGTGCATTTTTCTGATCTGCTTTTCTTTCAGATTAAAGAAAAGTTGCTACAGTTGACGGACAAGAGGAAAGACATGATTGACAAGTGGGAGGACCGCTGGGAGTGGCTCAGACTCGGTAAAGTATTTTTTACTAAAGTATTCCTGGTATCAGTACCTTACCTTACCCCACACACTTTAGTATCTGGTAATGTATCCTAGCAACCGACCCACAACAAACAAGCAGTTGGAAATTCCTTGGTAACCATGGCTCCCAGCAGCTCTCTGACCAATCACTGTCAGTTAGAACACTTTAGAGCAGAGCATTTATACTGTATTTCTTGTCTATGAATTACTTGTTTCTTGCTTGTTCTGCTCAAAATGCTCTTATGGTAAGACCCATGGTTCTGGTGTGGTCACTCAACTATCTGAACTCTGAACAATTGTTAAAAAAAACCCTTGGTCTGTAAAATGCTCTGTATCTAACTTACTCGTGTGCGGTCCCCAGTGCTGGAGGTGCATCAGTTCGGGCGGGATGCGGGCGTGGCCGAGGCGTGGCTGCTGGGGCAGGAGCCGTACCTGTCCAGCCGAGAGATGGGCCAGAGCGTGGACGAGGTGGAGAAGCTCATCAAGAGGCACGAAGCCTTCGAGAAGTCTGCCGCCACGTGGGAGGAGCGCTTCGCCGCGCTGGAGAGGCTGACCACGGTGAGGGGAGGACGGGGAGGAGAGGGGAGGAGGGGGAGGCTGACCACGGTGAGGGGAGGACGGGGAGGAGAGGGGAGGAGGGGGAGGCTGACCACGGTGAGGAGAGGGGAGGGGAGAGGGGAGGAGGGGGAGGCTGACCACGGTGAGGAGAGGGGAGAGCCTGACCACGGTGAGGGGAGGAGGGGGGAGGCTGACCATGGTGAGGGGAGGAGGGGGGAGGCTGACCATGGTGAGGAGAGGAGGGGGAGGAGGGGAGAGCCTGACCACGGTGAGGGGAGGAGGGGGGAGGCTGACCACGGTGAGGGGAGGAGGGGGGAGGCTGACCATGGTGAGGAGAGGGGAGAGCCTGACCACGGGTGAGGGGAGGAGGGGGGAGGCTGACCATGGTGAGGGGAGGAGGGGGGAGGAGAGCCTGACCACGGTGAGGGGAGGAGGGGGGAGGCTGACCATGGTGAGGGGAGGAGGGGGGAGGAGAGCCTGACCACGGTGAGGGGAGGAGGGGGATGTGGACAGGGAGAGAGAGGAGGAGAGTTCACAGTGGAGTGGAGGAGAGTGAGGAGAGAGGAAGGGAGGAGGGGGAGTTGGACACAGAGAGAGGAGGAGAGTAAGGGAGAGGAGAGCAGGTAGACAGGGAGAGAGAAGGGAGGAGGAGATCCACACAGAGGGGATGAGGGAGGAGGAATTGTCTGGATGCAGTGCGAGAGGAGGAGGAGACAATTCTAAATGCAAACTGGTCTCATTTGAACCATATACACGATAATCCAGACTATAATCCAGAAGTTGTGACACAGATTGGTATACCCGCTCTGTTTGTCCGTTAACTAAAACTAAAATATTAACTTTCTTTGTATCTGTGTGTGTGTCTCTCTGTGTTTGCGTGTGTGTCTCTGTGTGTGTGTGTGTGTGTGTGTGTTTGCAGATGGAGTTGTTGGAAGTGCGGAGAAGGCAGGAGGAGGAGGAGCTGAGCCGACAGCCCGCGGTCACAGAGGCCACGCCCACAGACGCGGCGTCACCACGGTCAGAACACACACAAATGTAGATATAATAAACTGCTACATTTCAAACACAACATTCCTTTTTGGAAACCGTCCAAATGCATCACACCTGCAGAGTTCACCGCTTTCCCATAGATTTGTGATCAAGCCATAAAAGTGATCTTTGATACATTTAAAGAGGAGACTAAAGTGACATTATGACCTGATTTCTTTGGTCTGTGTGTGTCTTTGTGTGTGTCTGTGTGTGCGTGTCATTGTGTGTGTGTGTGTTGCAGGGAGGGAGAAGCAGTGGCTCAGAACGGCCTGCCCTCTGACCAGGAGTCGCCCAGGGTTAGTACCTACCGCTCCCCAGCCTACCAGCAGTACAGCACCACTCTGCAGGGCCGCCGAGCCGGGCCCTGACCCCGTCGCCACGGCAACCACACACTCACTCATTCACTCGCACACACACACACACACACACACACACGCACACACTCGCGGCACCAGAGTGGGTTCTGGTCAGAAACACGCAGTTAATAGTGAAAAGTCTATTCTCAATGTTTTGTCAACTTCAGTGTCTGTTTTTGAAACCATACTGGAAGCACGGGCAGTGGTGTGTCTTAAAGCTGGGGTACCTGACTTTATCTTGTTACGCACAAATCAGACCTCAACATCTGCTCGTTGCTTTTCACTTTTCTGTCTGAAAACGAAGCTGATCTACAGACGTGACAGAAGCCAAAAACACGTGTGAAAACTAGCGATGGAACCAAAAGCAAGGAACTCGAGACATGGATTTTATTTCTTAGAGAACATTAGGTACGCCAGCTTTAAGAAGACCATGCACAGTTTAAAACCATGTGACGGGGAGCCAGTGAAGTGAGGCCAGCACAGGGGTGATGTGTTCTCTCTTACATGAGCTTAGATCCACTGTACCTCTTCATCATCATCACACTGTATCCTCATCCTCAGCCAGAGAGTAACACCACAGTGCTCTCTTGGTTGTGTGTGTGTGTGTGTGTGTGTGTGTGTGTGTGTGTGTGTGTGTGTGTGTGTGTGTGTGTGTGTGTGTGTGTGTGTGTGTGTGTGTGTGTGTGTGTGTGTGTGTGTGTGTGTGTGGAGCAGCAGAAGCCTCCGGTGCTGATCTCTGTCCTGTGCCTCTGTCCTTCAGCCCGACAGCCCCAGCCTCGTCCCCAATCAGTTCCTCCTCGTTTACGTGGTCATTTACAAACTCACCCTTTGGAACATGAACTCCTAACATTCCCCGTTTTACTGCAGAGATTCTCCACAAAATCTAGAATAGTCTCACTGCAAAAAATGAAAAAAACTGAGGCTTTTTATCATAATCTTGAGTTAATTCTGACAAGATCATTTTGCTTTGTCCCATCGGCAAATCTTGTTTTAAGGCCCAGTCAAAATGCGCTAAAATTGAGCTACAATTTGGAGCATTTTTTTGTATTTTGCATCAGTTTTTGCAGTCACAAAAGAAAACGGTACAAGAATAAAAATACAAGTTTGAAATAGACAAAAATACATGTAATATATAAAAATAATCTGATATTCTCAACCAAGTCTGTAAAAACCTAGAATCTAGATTTGTCCATTTTAGAAGTTTCTAAGGTCTTACTGTGTGTAGTAGTCTTAAAATAAACTCAAACTGTGATTAATCTGTGGGAGAGCGTGGCTGAAACTGAAATCTGCCCACTGTGGGACGAATATAGAATCTTAATCTTAATCTTAATCTTGCTTTGGAAACTGCTCTAACGTCATTCCACAGAACCCCATTGTCCACTCAGACCATTCCACACGCTCACGTCATTTTGGGAACTTTTTTGTTTTTAATTGTGGCTCTGTATGTGTCGTTTTTGACCTTGAGTCTGGTTGTGCGACTGTGTAATGTGTGTGTGTGTACATGTTGTGTGGACGTCCATTTTGTGTCCATCCCGTTGTGTTTTTGTACTACGGCTCCGTGTCCATTGTGTTCATTGTACTTTCATATTGACTTGTTGCATGTCATTCCCAGACTAACACCCTCCTCCCAATAAACCCTGTCCACCAATCAGAGTGCTCCGTTCATCTTCATCATCTGCAAAACATCCAATCAGCAGCGAGAAGCCAGCCATGGGTTTTGAAACGCTGAAAATGTATCAGAAAAATGGTTGTAAACAGAGATGTGAGATGTTTTAACTTAAAGCAAAAATCCGCTAACGTCGAGCTCCGACCCCCACCCCTTCTGTGAAATATCTGATTTTCAAACATTGCTGAGGTGTCATGAGCCCCATTTCCATCAGTCGTACTCTACTCAGCTTTACCCGGACTGGCCCAGTTTAACCGCTGATGGGTCCTTCTTCAGTCCCTCTTGGTTCTGGTTCTATCCGGGCCAAGCTGGTACTGAAGTGTTCTCACTGACCTGCTGGAAGCTGTGGTTGCCAAGGAATTTCCATGGATACTGATGCGTTTGGGTTTGTTGCAAGAGGCCAAAACAGAACCAGGTAGAGCAGGGCCGACTGGAGCAGGGCTGGTGGAAATGGGGCTATGGACAGAGCTGTTTTCTGCCTTTAAAAAACTAGTTTTTTAGGATTTTGTGAAATGGTTTTCAATCAGATCGTGCCAATTTGAATGTTTATAACAGAAGCATAATGAAGTTTACTCTCTCTGTGGCAGAAGAAGGCGTGTGGAGGAGATCAGAGATTCAGATCTGTTTTAGTCCATAAATCATCATCAAACTAGTTCTGAGAATCTCAAATGAAATGGAAACAAACAGTTCTCAAGATAATGTTGATTTCGTCCCAAAATAAGAGTTTTATGTTAGTCCTCAAACCGCTGCAGACACGGCGCTAATCTGTCAACCCCAGAAACCCATGGATCTGAGAGGAGGCGGAGCTAAAGCTGGAGAACCCAACTTTGTTTTTCTCACAACAGAAAGAATCTTGTTTTAAGTTAACTGTTGGAACAAACCGATCAGACCCAGGTGTGCACACGGCCCTTTAGTTTTAACCTGGATTTGAACATTATCAGAGTAGAAGCCTGTCTCACATTTGTAGGAAGACTGTTCTAGATTACAGCTGCGTAAATCTGACATTTTAACTCCACACGTTTAGTCCTGACTCAGGGACCAGCAGGAGTCCAGTCCCTGTGCTCCTCCCAGCAGGAGGCCGGTACCTGTGCTCCTCCCAGCAGGAGGCCGGTACCTGTGCTCCTCCCAGCAGGAGGCCAGTCCCTGTGCTCCTCCCAGCAGGAGGCCGGTACCTGTGCTCCTCCCAGCAGGAGGCCGGTACCTGTGCTCCTCCCAGCAGGAGTCCAGTCCCTGTGCTCCTCCCAGCAGGAGGCCGGTACCTGTGCTCCTCCCAGCAGGAGGCCGGTACCTGTGCTCCTCCCAGCAGGAGGCCGGTACCTGTGCTCCTCCCAGCAGGAGGCCGGTACCTGTGCTCCTCCCAGCAGGAGTCCAGTCCCTGTGCTCCTCCCAGCAGGAGGCCAGTCCCTGTGCTCCTCCCAGCAGGAGGCCAGTCCCTGTGCTCCTCCCAGCAGGAGGCCGGTACCTGTGCTCCTCCCAGCAGGAGTCCAGTCCCTGTGCTCCTCCCAGCAGGAGTCCAGTCCCTGTGCTCCTCCCAGCAGGAGGCCAGTCCCTGTGCTCCTCCCAGCAGGAGGCCGGTACCTGTGCTCCTCCCAGCAGGAGGCCGGTACCTGTGCTCCTCCCAGCAGGAGGCCAGTCCCTGTGCTCCTCCGAGTCCCAGCAGGAGGCCAGTCCCTGTGCTCCTCCGAGTCCCAGCAGGAGACCAGTCCCTGTGCTCCTCCGAGCCCCAGCAGGAGACCAGTCCCTGTGCTCCTCCGAGCCCCAGCAGGAGACCAGTCCCTGTGCTCCTCCGAGCCCCAGCAGGAGACCAGTCCCTGTGCTCCTCCGAGCCCCAGCAGGAGGCCAGTCCCTGTGCTCCTCAGAGTCCCAGCAGGAGGCCAGTCCCTGAGTTGGCTCCTATGGCAGCTATAAGTTATTTTTCATGGTTTCAAAGTTGGGTCCTCCAGCTTTAAGTCCCTTTGACCCTTTGCTCTTCGGTGTTGGACTGAGAGATGTGTCACATTAGTTTAGTTTGAAGCTTATTTCACTTTTACAAGTTTACACATTGTTTAAGAACCGTCAATTTACAGCAGAAAGACCGGAAAGGAGGAGGCTAATGCTAATGTTCAGTGCAGTTAGCGTAAGTGAATGCTAATGCTAACTGCACTGAACAGTAGAGTTCAAATCAACAACAATTATCTAGGTTCTAAATGATTCCAGAAACTAGGACTAGAGAAACATGGACTCGACAGATGGATTTTAAGGACTGTATCTCCACTCGGGGAACGGAATCCTTTATGTGGCTAGTCCAGAGTTAGCTTTGACGCAGCGGCTCCAGTGTCCCGGGACTTTACCCTCGGCCCCCACCCTCGGGCCCCCACCCTCGGGCCCCCACCCTCGGGCCCCACCCTCGGGCCCCGCTGCTGCCGCTGACTCTCTCCTGGGGTAATACTGTTTGCAGTGTGGACAATCACCACTTTGAGCTTAAACCAATAACCACCTCCTCGTCTCAACAATCTCATGATTATTGTTGGACTGTTTTTCTCTGATCAGTGTTGATTTTGACACAATTCTCTTCATATTTAATGTCTTTATTTGATCATAGCTACGTTAGAAAACCGTGGTTCAATCTGGCTTTGATCTCGGCTGCATCTGCTCTTGGAAATGTTATGTATTCTTAATTTGTCTTTATTATAATCTCTGAAATATCCATCTTTTCCAGTCGACAATATTCTACAAAATGAGTTGGTCTTAGTTGCGTTGTCAAAGTGAACACTGATTGTTGTGCTGTGGTGCTGCATGTTGTGGTATTCTGCGTGAGATGGACTTTGTGAAATCGCTGATGCTAATAGCACTAAGCTAGTGCGGTCAATGCTGGCATCCTGCTGCTTTGGAAATGATAAAACACTGGATAAACAATATGCAAATGTTAGCACAGGTGAAATGTGTGTAATCATGGATCTACGACTACGGAAGCTCTGAGAGGCCAGAAAAGTCTAATTGATGCTTCATTTTCAAAGTCATGTCCTTAAAAACATTTAAAGCTCCAATGATTTTAATGAATGTTTTTGTTCTTTAAAGTTAGAACAAAGAAGCTCAGTATGTAGACAAATTATCATCAAAAATAAGTTAGTTATTTTGTTAAAGGTAAATAGAAGGATTTTCTACTTCTGGGTGGATCATCAAAACTATTCGTCCTCCCACTTGTCAATCATTCTGGTGATACGTGCTCGTCCAATCAGAGCAGAGAGTTTGGTTCAAAAAGTGGAGAGGGCGGATATTTTTGTAACTTAACAGCAAAGAGAGAATTGGGCAAAAAATATGGTTTAAAAAAAAGTGTGTGTCTGTGTCTCTGTGCGTGTGTCTCTGTGTGTGTCTGTGTCTCTGTGCGTGTGTCTCTGTGTGTGTCGGTGTCTCTGTGTGTGTGTCTCTGTGTGTGTGTGTCAAATTTAGACTGAGAAAATGGAGGTTCAATTACAACTATTTGTATTTGTTGTGGTCTCTTGTGTTTGTTGTGTTGCCTCTCAGGGCCTCCGTACTCGCACACTGCCCACATCTGCACATGTCTGTAGTTTCTTCCTCTGACTCTCTGTTTACGTGTAGGACACTCTGGACGGAGGCGAGGTCGTGAACGGCGTGTCGGACCCCAGTCCCTCGGGGTCTCCCGGGGCCCTGCGCAAGGGTCAGGCCGCCACGCTCCCCACCAAGACGGACGGCGCCACCTCCCAACTGGAGGGTTTCCTGCACCGCAAACACGAGTGGGAGGGCCACAACAAGAAGGCCTCCAGCAGGTACTCCACCCTACTCTGCCCTACTCTACTCCACCCTACTCTACTCTACTCTGCCCTACTCTACTCTACTCTGCCCTACTCTACTCCACCCTACTCTACACTACTCTGCCCTACTCTACTCTGCCCTACTCTACTCTACTCTGCCCTACTCTACTCTGCTCTACTCTACTCTGCCCTACTCTACTCTGCTCTACTCTACTCTGCCCTACTCTACTCTACTCTACCCTACTCTGCCCTACTCTACTCTACTCTACTCTGCCCTACTCTACTCTACTCTACTCTGCCTTACTCTACTCTGCCCTACTCTACTCTGCTCTACTCTACTCTGCCCTACTCTACTCTACTCTACCCTACTCTGCCCTACTCTACTCTACTCTGCCCCCTACTCTACTCTGCTCTACTCTGCCCTACTCTACTCTACTCTGCCCTACTCTACTCTACCCTACTCTGCCCTACTCTACGCTACTCTACTCTACTCTACTCTGCCCTACTCTACTCTGCTCTACTCTGCTCTACTCTACTCTACTCTACTCTGCCCTACTCTACTCTACTCTACCCTACTCTGCCCTACTCTACGCTACTCTACTCTACTCTGCTCTACTCTACTCTGCCCTACTCTACTCTGCCCTACTCTACTCTGCCCTACTCTACTCTACTCTGCCCTACTTTACTCTGACCTACTCTACTCTACTCTGCCCTACTCTACTCTGCCCTACTCTGCTCTACTCTGCTCTACTCTACTCTGCCCTTCTCTGCTCTACTCTAGCCTACCCTACTCTAGCCTACCCTACTCTACTCTAAGTTACTTACTTACTTACTTAAGTGTTTAGTGGTCACATGGTTTATTTTCAGTGTCCATTGATTGATTTGAGTTTTAAAGCTGACCTGTGTAGGACTCTTAGTTACAAAAAAGCCTGAATTAGTTTAATTAGACATTGAGATTGAGATTGTGTTGGCATCACACAGACAATGTTTATATCATTTAGATTCAGTAGATATTGATAATGTATCGATCTCCGCAGCAGATGTCCATCCAAACACATACATCTTTCTTAAAGTTACTAAACAATAGCAATAAAGTATAACAGCACTATAGGTCACTGCAGCAGAGGTGGTGTCGCCGAGGTGGTGTCGCCGAGGGGGTGTGGCCGAGGGGGTGTGGCCGAGGGGGTGTGGCCGATGTGGGGTAGCCGAGGTTGTGTAGCCGAGGTGGGGTAGCAGAGGTGGTGTAGCAGAGGTGGTGTAGCAGAGGTGGTGTAGCAGAGGTGGTGTCGCCGAGGGGGTGTGGCCGATGTGGGGTAGCCGAGGTGGTGTAGCAGAGGTGGTGTAGCAGAGGTGGTGTAGCAGAGGTGGTGTAGCAGAGGTGGTGTGGCAGAGGTGGTGTGGCAGAGGTGGTGTAGCAGAGGTGGTGTAGCAGAGGTGGTGTAGCCGAGGGGGTGTGGCCGAGGTGGTGTGGCCGAGGTGGTGTAGCAGAGGTGGTGTAGCAGAGGTGGTGTAGCAGAGGTGGTGTAGCAGAGGTGGTGTAGCAGAGGTGGTGTAGCCGAGGTGGGGAAGCAGGACACGTCACATTTGAAATAGTTATAATAAATGTGTGATTAATTCTGGTAATGACGTTGTAATGTATTACTGCCCTGGACTTTCATATTCAGACCTGTCTTTAGCTTCAGAGTGTGACATCACAGACTCAGAGTGTGACATCACAGACTCAGAGTGTGACATCACAGACTCAGAGTGTGACATCACAGACTCAGAGTGTGACATCAGACTCAGAGTGTGACATCACAGACTCAGAGTGTGACATCACAGACTCAGAGTGTGACATCACAGACTCGTGCTCAGAGTGTGACATCACAGACTCAGAGTGTGACATCAGACTCAGAGTGTGACATCACAGACTCAGAGTGTGACATCACAGACTCAGAGTGTGACATCACAGACTCGTGCTCAGAGTGTGACATCACAGACTCGTGCTCAGAGTGTGACATCACAGACCTGTACTCAGTGTGTTGTGCGTCTGTGCAGGTCGTGGCACCATGTGTACTGCGTGATAAACCAGCAGGAGATGGGTTTCTACAAGGACCAGAAGAGCGCGAGCCAAGGCGTCCCGTACCACAGCGAGATCCCCGTGAGCCTCAGGGACGCCGTGTGCGAGGTCGCCACGGACTACAAGAAGAAGAAGCACGTCTTCAAGCTCAAGTCAGTGTGTGTGTGTGTGTGTGTGTGTGTGTTTGTCTTTGTGTGTGTTTGTCTTTGTGTGTGTCTGTCTGTCTCTGTGTGTCTTTGTGTGTGTCTGTCTGTCTCTGTGTGTGTGTGTGTTTGTCTGTGTGTGTGTGTGTTTGTCTGTGTGTGTGTGTGTGTGTGTGTGTGTTTGTCTGTGTGTGTGTGTGTGTGTGTGTGTGTGTTTGTCTGTGTGTGTGTGTTTGTGTGTGTGTGTTTGTCTTTGTGTGTGTCTGTCTGTGTTTGTGTGTGTGTGTCTGTCTCTGTGTGTGTTTGTGTGTGTGTGTGTGTGTCTGTCTCTGTGTGTGTGTGTGTTTGTGTGTTATGTGTGTCTGTCTCTCTGTGTGTGTGTTTGTGTGTGTGTTTGTGTGTTATGTGTGTCTGTCTCTCTGTGTCTGTGTCTGTGTGTGTGTGTGTCTGTGTCTGTGTGTGTGCGTGTGTTAGAGTGTGTGATGTGTTTAACCTGGGCTAATGTGTGTGTTGCAGAATCACAGATGGAAACGAATATCTCTTCCAAGCCAAAGATGATGTGAGTTCATTTTACTACAGTCGATCTTTAAGACGAGAAATGTCAGTGTTGCATCGTCACAGAAGAATGAGACGTGGAACAAGAGTCTAGGGGGAGGGGGTGTGGCGCCACCTGCAGGTGAAAGCTAGATCCTGTCAGTGGTTAGTACTATGATGGGAGACCTCTGAAGCTCAGCAGGGCAAGGCCTGGTTAGTACTGTGATGGGAGACCTCTGGGAACTGCAGGTGCCACAGTGGGACGTCTGCGGCTGTAAAGTGCCAAAACTGTGGCACTTTGGTGCCCTTAGGCAAGACACTTCACCCACATTAGAATCAGTCTGGTGTGTGAATGGTTGGTGGTGGTGGGAGGGGCCGATGGCACATTCAGTCAGTGTGGCCCAGGGCAGCTGTGGCTACAATTGTAGTCTGTGTATGAAGTGACTTAATAATAACATCTGAAGCATCTTTGACTCTGAGTTTAGTAAAAGTGAAATCCTACATAAAATGATTATTTTTTGGGGAAAAAACACCAAAAATCTGTCATGTCTTGACTTTGCTTCAGTGTTGGTTTGTCTCACTGCAGTGCCCTCTAGTGGCCACTCTGCTCCTTATCACCAAAGCCCTGCTGCTGCTCCATAGTTTTTCTAATCTGTTGGTAATCCATCAATCTGTCTGACGGCTGCTGTGATGTTCCCCCTCTCTCCCCCTCTCTCCCCCTCTCTCCCCCTCTCTCAGGAGGACATGAACACCTGGATCTCCGCCCTCTCGGCCGCCGTCCCAAGCGACAAAGGCGAGGTGACGCCCAGCAGCCACAGCACGCCGGCCCCAGGAGCGCGCGCCCAGACACTGCCCGCCACCGTGGCGAGCAGCACGGCCGCCGCAGAGTCCAGCCCGGGCAAGCGCGAGAAGGGAGACAAGGAGAAGCGCTTCAGCCTGTTCAGCAAGAAGAAATGAGGCCGGCGCTCCTCCCTCCCTCTGTCCCTCCTCTGTCTTCTTCTACTGTTTGGGGCTAAACTCTTCCCGGCAACTCGCATACACTGCAAAAATGTCTTTCTAGAGGACTGAACATGGCGAGGGTTGGTTGTTAAAGCGGCTGTGCCAGAGTTCCACGGTCTAATCATGAGAAAAACACAATCTGGCCTTTCCCATTTCCTCCTAGTGAAGCTGTAGAGCTGCTGTAACGGCATAAACGTGTGTAAGTCTGAGAAGAATCGCATTCTGCTCAAAGACATTGACACTTCGGGCACGGTCGCTTTAAAAGTCAGTAGTTTTGTTTAATTTAAGCTCGAGAATGCTGCGGCTCGTGATGTCTCTGACCGTTCCCAACATTTCTTCATTTCAATCAAGAACTTTTAGTCCACGTGGGAAGACAGTCAAAACTACTGCAGCTGTGAGTCATGGTTGGCCCGAGGAGAGGGTCATGTTTTTGGCAGTGTACGAGGTCCAGTCCTGGCGCTTAGCAATAGAGCTAACACGAAATCTCCCCAAACAGAAAAATCCTCCTTGGTTTTCTTTTGTTTATTAAATTTTCCTTTATCTTTGCTCTCCTCAAAAAGCTCCCAGCCAAATCATAACGAAGTAGACGTGGGGCCTGGCTGGAGCCTTCTCTGAACCAGAGCTACGATCCTACTTTGCCACGAAACACAATCTGTGAGGAGGCTTTTTGTGTTGGTTTTTCCCCGAATCGTCCTCTCGATGTTGAATTCTGATTTAGTTTTTGCTTACGCTGCCATTGACCCGCCTGATAACCACTGCCTTTGTGGGTTTGTGTTTTTACGCCTCTCCAAACACTCTCAAATGTTCCAACCAATTCCTTTTTTTTTTGTACGTCATTATGTTTGTTAAGCTAAACAAATAGAGGGTCCATTTTGTTTTTTTAAATGTTTTTTTCACGTTTCTTTCTATTGTTTCAGTTTGCGAGGCCTTGTCTTTGCAAGATGAGTGTATCCCTGTGTAATGGGGAGATCACGGCAGGGTAAAGCCACGTCAGAGTCTGGACTGGACCAACACGACCAATACGTGGCAGTTTTATGCACTGACCATTTATGAAGGATTTGTTTCTGGCTAAAAGGCAATGGAAGAACAGTGAGCTTTGCCCTGCTGTGCGCTGTGTGTATAACATGTGTATAACTGTTTAAAATCCCTGTGTCCTAGTTTCACTGTTGCTAATGCTAATACTAACATACCGCGGTAATAATACGCTTCTTTCTTAACCTAGCGACGCGTACACTGCAGACTGAATGAAGGATTAACTGACCAATGAGAATGTTTGACCACGCCCCCTCATTTCGTAACGTTATTTTGGTGAAAAAGCTCTGTTTTAAGATATAGTCAGACAAGTATGAATATGTCCTATAGCAATCTTAAGCTGTTTTAAATGAATTCTTTGGATTCTTTACAAAGCATTTAGCAGAAGTCTCGGTCGCTTGCTCGTTTGGCTTTATCGGCACTCCCTTCTTCTTTTTATTTTCTCTTTTTGTTGAGTTTTTGGAAAGCGCCCGACAGTGAAGACTTCAGTTTCATCCGCTCAGATGTTTTCCAACCATCCTCGTGTCCGCTTCACGATCCAGCCGTGTACAGATAGATACGAAAGGCAGTCACAAAATGGAACTTATGTACAGATGAAATTTGCATGCGCTTGAACCAAACGCTACCGCCGCTCCTTAAACTCACGGTTATCGCCAAAACTGGGATTTTTGTACATACCAAAAAAAACCCTGCCTACTTTTTAGGTTCCAGCGCACTTGGAATGGGCATGCCCTCCGGAGTCGCATGTTGTACAAATCTGGCTGACGAGACCAAGACATGTGTTTTTTGCTAGTTTGAATGAATATTGATTTTGTATTTAATTTTATAAAGCAAAACAAAGAAATCCCGGCTGGAGTCAAAAGGCAGCCTGGGAATGGTCGCGTGGGCTTGGGGGTAACTGGAACGCTTCACTGACGGCGGCTTCACTGTCCAATCCTGTCGCTTCATTTTCCGGCAACTCTCTCCACATGGTGTCACTGTAGTGTCCAGATCTCTCCACATGGTGTCACTGTAGTGTCCAGATCTCTCCACATGGTGTCACTGTAGTGTCCAGATCTCTCCACATGGTGTCACTGTAGTGTCCAGATCTCTCCACATGGTGTCACTGTAGTGTCCAGATCTCTCCACATGGTGTCACTGTAGTGTCCAGATCTCTCCACATGGTGTCACTGTAGTGTCCAGATCTCTCCACATGGTGTCACTGTAGTGTCCAGATCTCTCCACATGGTGTCACTGTAGTGTCCAGATCTCTCCACATGGTGTCACTGTAGTGTCCAGATCTCTCCACATGGTGTCACTGTAGTGTCCAGATCTCTCCACATGGTGTCACTGTAGTGTCCAGAGCTTTGTCCTTAGCACACAATCAGGAAGGCCACGATAGGGGGGGAGGGGGGCGGGAACACTGGGGCACTGGGGCCGGGGGGCACTGGGGCCGGGGGGCACTGGGGCCGGGGGGCCCTGGGGCCGGGGGGCCCTGGGGCCGGGGGGCACTGGGGCCGGGGGGCACTGGGGCCGGGGGGCACTGGGGCCGGGGGGCACTGCTAGTTGGATCTGCACCTGTAGACTTCTCCCCTTCTCTGTTACATATGTGCAAAAAGCCATTAAAATGCTTTTAAAACGGATCCAGGACTCATGGTTTTATTTGTGTTTGGAGGATCACTTTGTTGCAGGTTCAGTGGAGGAGCCGAGGAGCCAGGGGCAGAGGTCTGGGGTCTTGGTCTAGGGGCTGTGGTCTGGGGGCAGAGGTCCAGGAGCCTTGGTCTGGGAACGCCATGAGCTTACTCTTACTCTTACTACTCTTACTATTTATGAATGTATTAGTTTATTTGAATAGTGACACATTATTGCTGTAAATGCTTCAGTTTTAGCTAACGGCTAGTTCCTGTGGTCCCAGAGGCAAAGTGTAAACTAGCATCAAAGTGCACTGCAAACATTACGATACACAAATAAGTAGTTAAAACATGTTAAAACGTATAAAAACAAACACATGAGTGGTTAGAGTCTGGACTGTCCAATAAGCAGCTTTTTAACGTGTGTTTAAAGTCCTGAGTGTGTTGCTCATGGACTGGGATCGTGCTCCAGAACGGAGGAAGCTGATTGGCCAAAGAAACGTTTTCTCAGTGGGACAGGATCATTGGAGGCAGATCTGGTGTTTCTGGTGTTTCTGGTGTTTCTGCTGATGGTGTGGGTGGGGCCAGAACATTTCAGATTTAAAAACCAGGAGACCGTCCAGAGGCTGCGGTGGTTATTGGACCGCCTGGATGGGATCAGGGCTGCGACCCTGTGACCAGCTGCTGACAGTAACTATCATCCAATGAAAAAGTTTAAGTTACTTCTGATTAATTTAAAATGTGCTAAATTTAACTTGACTGTTTAATGGTTAATTTCTTTTCCTGTTTCTTGAAAGTAAAATCGGAGTCTGACAACACGCAGATCTGTGTACTGTGTCACCGAGGAATTAACCTGAAAGCTGGTTTGTTGTGGGTCGGTTGCTAGGATACAGTGCCATTATACTAAAGCGTCATGGAAACCCAACCAGGCCGAGCCGGGCCGAGCCGGGCCGTGCTGTTGATGCAGACAGATCCTTCTCTCAGACTCTCAAAGGACTGATCCGACGGTTTCATGTCGAGGAAGTTTCTCTTTTGGGTTAAAACTCTGGATGTAAAGGACAGAATCTCTTTAACCGTTTGTTTCTGCTCAAAATAATAAAATGAAAAAGTATTTACAATATTTACATTCCTTAGTTCACATGACTTTATACATGTTTCTGTGTTTATGGCACATCAGACATGTCCAAACTCTGGCCCGGGGGCCAAATGCGGCCCTCAGTGTCATGTTATGTGGCCCTCTGCCTTGCTAACCCTTAGTTGTCTATGAGATCATAAACACTAGTTCACTGTGTCATCCAGCCAACTTCAGCTCAGCCAATATAGTCCTCGTTCTAAAGCCCAGTCCTGAATTCAGTCGTTATTTGTCCAAACGGTGTTGACACGGTTTTTGATGGTGTCACAAACTAACGTTAAAGATGCTAATGTAGCTGGTGAGATGGTAAACATGTGTCATTCAGCCAACTTCAGTCTGAGATGTCGGCCCCTGAACTATGGTGAACTAAAGTGGCCCTCTTACTAAAAATTTGGACACCCCTGCAGTCCATACTCACACAAACAAATATATATAAACATAACTATACAATCGTGCAGCAGTATATATCCTAGTTTCACCGTGTGTTGTGTATCTACAACATGACCCTCAGTCCTGGTGTTAGCATGACCTCTGACCCTGCCCTCAGTCCTGGTGTTAGCATACAGATGTTAGCCTGTGGAGTATTGTGCTCAGTCCAGCGTGTGAAGGATTAAAGACAGATTGTGGGATTACTCTCCACACGTCGTGATGAGACAAACCCAAGTCCACTTCCTGCTTCACTTACAGTCTGTGCTCCACTTCCTGCTTCACTTACAGTCTGTGCTCCACTTCCTGCTTCACGTTACGGTCTGTGCTCCACTTCCTGCTTCACGTTACGGTCTGTGCTCCACTTCCTGCTTCACGGTCTGTGAACCAGCATTAGCATGGTTCAAAGTTAATGAAGATGATCACATTCAGATCTTTAGACCTACTTTAGACTTACTTTAGACAGACTTTAGACCGACTTTAGACTTACTTTAGACCGACTTTAGACTTACTTTAGACCGACTTTAGACCGACTTTAGACAGACTTTAGACCGACTTTAGACCGACTTTAGACCGACTTTAGACCGACTTTAGACCGACTTTAGACCGACTTTAGACCGACTTTAGACCGACTTTAGACCGACTTTAGACCGACTTTAGACCGACTTTAGACCGACTTTAGACAGACTTTAGACCGACTTTAGACCGACTTTAGACCGACTTTAGACCGACTTTAGACCGACTTTAGACCGACTTTAGACCGACTTTAGACCGACTTTAGACCGACTTTAGACCGACTTTAGACCGACTTTAGACCGACTTTAGACCGACTTTAGACCGACTTTAGACCGACTTTAGACCGACTTTAGACCGACTTTAGACAGACTTTAGACAGACTTTAGACCGACTTTAGACCGACTTTAGACAGACTTTAGACCGACTTTAGACCGACTTTAGACCGACTTTAGACCGACTTTAGACCGACTTTAGACCGACTTTAGACCGACTTTAGACCGACTTTAGACCGACTTTAGACCGACTTTAGACCGACTTTAGACCGACTTTAGACAGACTTTAGACCGACTTTAGACCGACTTTAGACCGACTTTAGACCGACTTTAGACCGACTTTAGACCGACTTTAGACCGACTTTAGACCGACTTTAGACAGACTTTAGACCGACTTTAGACCGACTTTAGACAGACTTTAGACCGACTTTAGACCGACTTTAGACCGACTTTAGACCGACTTTAGACAGACTTTAGACCGACTTTAGACCGACTTTAGACCGACTTTAGACCGACTTTAGACCGACTTTAGACAGACTTTAGACCGACTTTAGACCGACTTTAGACCGACTTTAGACCGACTTTAGACCGACTTTAGACAGACTTTAGACCGACTTTAGACCGACTTTAGACAGACTTTAGACCGACTTTAGACCGACTTTAGACCGACTTTAGACCGACTTTAGACAGACTTTAGACCGACTTTAGACCGACTTTAGACCGACTTTAGACCGACTTTAGACCGACTTTAGACAGACTTTAGACCGACTTTAGACCGACTTTAGACCGACTTTAGACCGACTTTAGACCGACTTTAGACCGACTTTAGACCGACTTTAGACCGACTTTAGACCGACTTTAGACCGACTTTAGACCGACTTTAGACCGACTTTAGACCGACTTTAGACCTACCGACCAGATCCGCACTAACCATGACATCTTGGCAGATCTTTCCGGTTCACTGACTCCTCCAGACAGACAGGTCACAGACAGGTCACAGACAGGTCACAGACAGGTCACAGACAGGTCACAGACAGGTCACAGCAGCAGAGATGGTGTCTCTTAGTTCAGACCATTTTCTCTGCTCTGGTCCAAAGTATAATGCTTCATTAGCATTTTTCATAAAGTTAGCATTCCTCCAGTGGATTTTCTCCTGATCCACTTGGTTTGGACCATGAATCCTCTCTGCTCTGGTCTGGACCAGTGTAAAACCATGAACACTGAACTGCAGACAGAAAAAATAAATAAAAATAACACTTCAGCACCATGGACAGCACCAACAGTACTACTACTACTGCATCAGTAAACACTCTTAAACTCTTTCTGTTGTTCAGTCCTGCTCTTCTCAACGGCTACACCACCCCTGCTGCATCCTTCACCGTGGTTGATGTCCGGGTGGAGCTAAAGAAGCTAACCCCCTGGTCTCCGCTCACCTGGTGCCCGCTCCCCTGGTACCCATCCCCCTGGTGCCCGCCCCTCGGGCCCCGCTCCCCTGGTGTCCGCTCCCCTGGTGCCCGTCCCCCTGGTCCCCGTCCCCCTGGTGCCCGCTCCCCTGGTCCCCGTCCCCCTGGTGCCCACTCCCCTGGTACCCGTCCCTCTGGTCCCCGCTCCCCTGGTCCCTATCCCCCTGGTGCCCGCTCCCCTGGTCCCCGTCCCCCTGGTGCCCACTCCCCTGGTACCCGTCCCTCTGGTCCCCGCTCCCCTGGTCCCTATCCCCCTGGTGCCCGCTCCCCTGGTACCCGTCCCCCTGGTGCCCGCTCCCCTGGTACCCGTCCCCCTGGTCCCCGTCCCCCTGGTGCCCACTCCCCTGGTACCTGTCCCTCTGGTACCCGTCCCCAAGGTAGTAAGGCCGACAGGATGCAAGGATTACAGACCATTAACATCTGTCATAAAGAAGACTTTGGAGAGGCTAGTTCTCCGACCGCTCAGGCCACAGGTGGAGCCGGCTCTGGACCCCCTGCAGTGTGCCTGTCGGGACAACATGGGAGTGGATGACCCGGTTCTCTACATGCTCCATCGATCCCTGTCCTTCCTGGATGGACCAGGAGGTTATGTGAGGCTGATGTTCTTCCACTTCTCCAGTGCATTTAACACCATCCAACCTCTCTTACTGAGGGAGAAACTGGAGAAGATTGGAGTTGATCCATCTTTACCAACAACTACCTCCCTGTGAGGCCACAGTGTGTCAGGTTAGAGCGTGTCTGGGACTGTTGTGAGCACTACGGGAGCACCACAGGGCACTGTTCTGGCTCCTTTCCTCTTCACTGTTTACACTGCAGACTTCGCACACAACTCTGCCACATGCCATGTACAAAAATACTCTGACGATACCGCTGTTGTGGCATGAACAGTTGATCAAAGATCTCGCAGCTCGTTCACTTGATGGGCATAAAACTCTGGAATTGAGATTGAATGACATTGTTTGTCACGCTTGAACTCTCTGACCCGGCTTGGATTGGCCCCTGTGTACGGGGTCTGAGGGCGCCGCAATTCGGTTTAATTGGATTTAATAGAATATCTGTCTGTTTTTGACTGCTAAAATGCATACTATATTGTCCCTCGTTACAGGAAGATGTGTTTTTCTCCTTGCTGTGTCTTCCCTCCACTCTTATCTCACATTCCTCGGGCCAAGGCCATCATAATAAATCTGGACTCTACAACAATTTCACACTCTTTCAGTCAGTTCCAGCTTGGATCCCGCTCCCCCCGCCTCCCTCTGATCTCTCCCTCCCCTCCACTCCTCACTGTGTTTCCGACTCACCCCCTCCCTGACCCCGCCCCCCTCTGACAGCCACATTGGGCCGGCTGCGGAGGTGCTCATCCCGAAAAAGAAAATCCGTGGTTTATACAAAGCACAATGTTTTCTATCCAACTGTCTGTGTAACCTGTGTGTTACTGCTCTCTGCTGTTTATTCTACTGTTTGTCGCATGGCGCCGGAAAGATGGCGCCGTGGCAAGAGCTCTGGTGTGTGTCGTCTCCTCTGTCTGGCGCACACCGGGGTAGTCTTGCACAGTTTTTCCAATGTGGTTTTACTGCAAATGGCAAATAAATGAATCTGAATCTGAATCGGATGTGTGAAGGGGGGGCACAGGGGGGAGAGTACAGGGAGGAGGGGGCTGATCCTCAATGCGTCCAAGACCAAGGAGATGATCATTGACTTTCACAGGAGCCTTCCCATCGACCGCTCACAGTAAATGGACAGAACATCGAAGTGGTTCACCTCTATAAATATCTGGCAGTCCACCTGGACCACAGAGTCCACCTGGACCACAGACTGGACTGGGAGTCCACCTGGACCACAGACTGGACTGGGAGTCCACCTGGACCTTCTTGTGGAGATTTCTTCTTGGGACAGACAAAAGTGGGTTTATTTAAGAGGGTGGAGTTAGGAACCCCAGCTTTACAAACACTGCACATGAATACATTTTATTGGAGAATCAGCTTGTTCCCATGATCTAACATATGTTTTTGTAATAACCTGCTTTATTAATACATTTTATAATTATAATATTAGAACTTTACTGAACATTTATATCTCATAATGTAATGTTTGGGCTGTTTGTATCCTCTGAGCCACAGTCTGAACCTGCAGAATCATAAACACTGACACATTTACAGTCATGTGAACAGTCCCTACCAGACTCTGCAGTCAATTAGACTTTTATCTTTGAGATGTGACGAGTCATTTTGACACAATTCAAAACCATTTTCAACGGTTTTCAAGGGACTGGTCCTGGACTGGTCCTGGACTGATCCTGGACTGATCCTGGACTGATCCTGGACTGATCCTGGACTGATCCTGGACTGATCCGGGACTGATCTGGGACTGATCCTGGACTGATCCTGGACTGATCCTGGACTGATCCGGGACTGATCCGGGACTGATCCTGGACTGATCCTGGACTGGTCCTGGACTGATTCGGGACTGGTTCAGAGCATAACAACACACTGTTAGCATTTAGCCTTTCAACAAACTGTTTTTGATGTAAATTATATTCACTGATATATTGTTATATGAAGTTATATTCATCAGTTTTTTCACTTATTACAGATAAAACCCGGATGTATTTCTTGCTAGTCAAAAATTAAAACAATCCTTTTTTTTCTCCATAATTCCATCGATTTGAAGGGGAGCCGTCAAAATGACTGCTCTCGGGTTTAGCAAGTCCTAGTTGTAAAATAAATGTTAGAAAAAGATGTCTGAATCCCTTTTATGTTGACAGGTCAAGGCTCTTATTTTGAAACGTACCGGAAGTGCCGTGCTCTCTCCGCAGCGGCGCTTGACAAACACAGAGAAATAAATGAATTGAAATAAAAGGGAATCGCGGCACACGGCTCTGTCCTCTGCCGCTCCACACGCCTCTCTCCCCGGTCTCCACACCCCCCGGGCCTCGGCTGGAGCTCCCCGCCTCTGGCCTCTCTCTGCTCGGCCCCGGACAGGAGGATGCTGCGGTCCGGGAATCAGGACTCTTCTCCCGGTGATGCTGCTCTCCTCCGACCGCCACACGTCCAACAACCACAGGGATTATCGCCAGCCTCGGACCCACCATTTTACTGCTTATTTCTGCAGGAATAATCTGTCTTTGTGGCTCCAAACGCGGTGGTGTGTTTTAATCTCCACAGACAGTCTTTTCTGGATGGAAGCAGCGAGGGGTGAGGAGGAAAACGCCCGGGCTCCCGTCACCATGAGCGGCTGAGGACCGAGGATTATCCAGCGGCTAGATTACACCTCCACACATCCACGACCCATCGCATTTAGACTCATTTGGCCTTTTTATTTCTCTTTACCTAAAATACTACACCCAAGTTTACACATAGGAGACATGCAGTCTCGCCAACGTGAAGCCACATTAAAGATCATAGAATTGGACAGAATTGTGCCTAAATCAACTTTTTAAACCAGTATTGTAGAAAATCTGTCATTACTGGTTATGTTTTTGTTTATTGCACATTACTATTAGATTTCACAGGGATCTGGACTCAAACATATGGCTGTAATATTGAAGACATTTGCCTAAAGCTGCACATGACAGAAGCATCACTGAAGGATTTCAATGCACCACAAAATAGTTTAAAGACTACACCGTACGACTGCAGTGGCGAGTCCTTTGAGAAATCACTGCCAAATGGTGATAAAATGCTGATTTAAAGTAATATACAACATAGATGGTGTAGGCAGCAGGCACAGGGCTTAAGATCACAGGATTCTAAACCAGTGGATTTCTCACGAATGGAGGTGATTATAAAGTAATCAGTGGGAGTCAAATGGACAAAAGCGCCGCTGGGAGGAGTTGGCTCCGAGTATCTTTTGGGAGAATTGTACAAACGGTGGATTTCAGCAGAATGGGGGCTCGCCAAGAAGATCCCAGGACCATGTGAGACCAGCAGACGGAAGAACAAGGACCGAGAGTTGAATCTTTTCCAGGTTTGTTTTTAGACAAAACCCTCTCATTTTTAACACAAAATAATGTTGTCTATTGTTGTTTGTTGTTCTGTCCGGTCCCTGTGTGACCAGAGCCAGAGCTGTGTTCAGCAGCAGTAAGTCAGACCCGGTGCATGTTGGCTTCCGCCAGGGCTGCCCTTTGTCACTGGTTCTGTTCACTTTATTCATGGACAGAATTTTGAGGCGCAGCCAGGGGCCGGAGGGGTCCGGTTCAGAGACCACAGCCAGGGGCCGGAGGGGTCCAGTTAAGAGACCACAGCCAGGGGCCGGAGGGGTCCAGTTAAGAGACCACAGCCAGGGGCCGGAGGGGTCCGGTTCAGAGACCGCAGGATTTTATCTCTGCTGTTTGCAGACGATGTTGTGCTCCCTTAGAGATAGGGTGAGGAGCTCAGTCATACGGGACGAGCTCGGTGTAGAGCCGCTGCTCCTCCACATTGAGAGGAACCAGTTGAGGTGACATCTGTTCAAAATGCCTCCTGGACGCCTCCCTGGAGAGGTGTTCCGGGCACGTCCCACCGGGAGGAGGCCCCGGGGAAGACCCAGGACACAGAGGGACTATGTCTCTCAGCTGGCCTGGGAACGCCTCGGAGGAAGTGTGTGAGAGGGAAGTCTGGGCGTCTCTGCTTAGACCCGGCAACGGATGAAGCGGAAGAAAATGGAAAATGGTTAGATGGATGGATTTAGTTTTGAGCTGAAGATTTGGGGAAACAGGAAGAGACCGTTTCTGAAACCGGTTTGACACCGGTTTGACACCGGTTTGACACCGCTGGTCTAAGGTTAGTCTGATGGAGCTTTGATGTGACTGATCAGGATATTATCAGTTCTTTTATCGACAGAGAGCGTTAAGGACCGTTGTCAAGTCCTCTTCATCGACCGACCCAGAGTAGATGGTTTCTGTGTGATGCAGGAGAGTGTGAGGACAGATCAGATTCATTTATTTACCATTTGCAGTAAAACCACATTGGAATAGATTTGTCAAAGCCTCCAGTGTGCACCAGACAAGTACATACAATAAACAAGGTTAAAAGAACAGAAATAAAACAAACAGAACAGTTTCAGTACAAAGATCATTAAAGTGCTGATCCAGGATTTTAACGACTGAGATTTTGTATCGGTTCCACAGTGGGGGAAATGTCAGTGTTGCAGCAGCAGTTACAGAACAGTAGGAATGAGCAGCAAGTGAACGATAACTCAAATAAAACCTCTAGTGACAGAAACATGTGGTTTATATTTTGCACATTCTGAGATTATTCAGATTATTGTTGCACAGATATTTAAAGTGACAGTGGATCTTCTCCTTGTACAGTATCATGTGCAGTAGGTCTGTGGCCCCTGGACTGGCCCCCCTGGACTGGCCCCGCCCATCTCTGTGTGGACTGACTAATGTCCACAGTTGTAAACCTCTTTGACTCTGGTCTGTGAAAGGCGCTATATCAATAAACATTTCTACTTACTTTTATAACATCTATAACATTTATGGACATCTGTCTCTGTGACTCACTGACTGATGAGGACAAGAGTAAAGACAGTTTCCGTGGTTTCCTCAGGGTGCTGCTGGCAGATGAGTGAGCATGTCGGAGCGCAGCGCCCCGGCCGGACGCCTCAGACTGGACTGGGTCTACGGTTACCGTGGCCACCAGTGCAGGAACAACCTGTTCTACACCGCGGCTAAGGAGCTGGTGTACTTCGTGGCCGGAGTGGGCGTGGTCTACAACACCCGCGAGCACAGCCAGAGGTTCTTCCTGGGCCACAACGATGACATCATCAGGTCAGGCCGCAGACGCACACATACACACACACATGCACACACATACACATACGTGTGTGTAAGCATGGTGTGTGTAAGCACGGTGTGTTAGCAGTCAGGGTTAGCGTGAGCGGTCAGGGTTAGAGGTCAGGGTTAGAGCACTATAGTAACACAGTGTCTGCGGTGACGCTGCAGAGAGGGCCCAGAGATCAGTTAGTTAGAGATTATTACGGTTCTTTCTTCTCAATTAAATATCTCTGTCATACACATTTTGGTACATTTATATTTATGGATTTATTAACCTCTTTACTAACACCGGCGCGCCGGCGGCTGTTTTTATGTTTTTAAATGTTCTGCTGGCAATAGCAGATGTATTTTGAACACCAAACCCCAAAAGCTGTATATCATTTTAAAGCTTATTTTCTTATCTACATTTATATACAAGTGTAAACTACATCAGACTTTGCATTCAAAAGATATAACACATAATGTGGGCACAAAATAAATCAATTCCGAAATAGTTTTTTACCTTTGGGCTTGTGCTGTACAAATAAATCAGCTCTCCTCCCAGCTTGCAATACATCATTCTCTCTGGAACAGTCCAAAGGAAAATTATATCCACTTGTATTCCCCAAAGTAAAATCCATTCTGCAGAAATAATCCAAAAATGTGCATTTATCTTTAGCGAAAAAAAAGAGCACAGATGTTGCTTTTTCACTTTTAACGGACTTTTAGCTTTGTTTTTCACCCAAACATCTGGTATCCACGTGTTCCTTAGCTCCTTATCTTTCAAATGAGACTACTCCCGAAAAGCTAGACCAATTTTTGGGTCTGCAAGAGCTCCCGTAAGTACAGCTTGCGCTGCTGTTTGCGCATTGAACACTGATCTTTTGTGGGGTCCCAACTTGTTTGCTTTTACTTCCGGGATTTACGATTGACATGTCCTTGTAGCCAATGAGGAACGCTTTCGAACAAGGGGTGGGACAATGGTGTCCTGTCTTATGTTGGGCCTGGACAATTGTGCGTAATGGAAGCCAAAAGACGCTCTCGAAGCATGGATGTAATATATTAACTGGATAGGGTATTACTAGCTTGTAGCTGAATAACTCATGTGCTCAGGGGATTCTCGCGGTACTGCAGACTGAACCAGACTGAACCAGACTAAATTCACGTGGGCTACCCAGAAATTTTCCCCATAGAACTCAATGCATATTAAAACAGCTCAACCTCAGCTGACAGAGAACCTACAGCTTTAATAAAGATCGGATTTTGTGGGGATTTTAGTGTCCCTTGTCATCCTGAACTTTTTTTCTTCTTAAATCCTTCGGTTTTGTTTAAATCCACAAACTCTGCTCCTCTGGCTCTGGCTCTAACTCCCGCTCTGATGAACTGCTCTGATTGGTCAGAGCGCGGCCGAGCCCCTCTGTGCACGTGCGTGAGACCCGGTGTGAGACCCACACACGCGTGTTTGACGCAACGCATTATGGGAGATCATCCACTGCACAGAACCGGGAGGACCAGACGATGCCCAAATACAGGCGAGTTTCCCATAGATCTTTGCGAGTTTCAGGCAACTTCCGCTAATCTTTTCAGCCCCCATGCCGTCACAAAGCGCCACTGAGCACAACCATTCATTTGAATAGGGCGCCATCTTGAATTGCCGGGGCTTGTCTCGAAGCTGCAATGAATTTACACTCATAAAAAAATAACTTTGACATTTAAAAAAGAAAAACACACATAGATTAGTAACTTATAAGTACCAATAATAAAAAATATCGTTTTTATGATGATTAAATGTAAGTAAAGATATTTGGCACAATTTGGCACACTTGTGCCAAATTGTGCCAAATGTGCACTACTTGATGAAAAGGAGAAACTGCATAAAAACTATAAAACTTAGAAGTCTGAAACTTTAGACAGTTGTTGTCAACAACACAATGAACAGAGGGTTTGAATATTGTGAACTTACAATGAAGTATGCCTTTTTTAGGGCCTTTAGAAATTGAAAATGTTAGGCGAGGCTAAAAAAATTGGGGTTTTTTCCCTAACTTCAAAGGATGCAGAGGAAAATAGGGATGACAAACATTATTTTAGTGTTTTTTTACATAAACTAGAAGGCTCTAGCTTTAAAATGATGCATCACACAAGCATGTGAGATGTAAGATGTGTTTTTAAATAAGCAAAGACATTTGGGTATGCCCAACCATTGTGCACGAGCCAAAATGAGGCGGATGTTAAGAGGTTAAAGCAGCAGTGTGTAAACATGTGGCCAAAAGTGGTACTGCAGCCTCTCCCACTCTCCCTGACTCAGGTTGCCAGATATGCAGACGAATCCAGCTGGGACCATAACAGCTGAATAGACAAGAGTTTAGTCAACAACAAATCTATAACCAACACCTTTTTCACAAAGATAGAAATCCTGGTTTTATTCCTTGTTTTGTCGTTAATGATTTGAGAATCATAACGAGACCTTTTTTAGTTCTGCGCCACATGGTACTCATGAGTGGATGCAAAACAATTTCCTTCAGCTAAACGCAGACAAAACTGAAATGATTGTCTTTGGTCCCCAGAAACAAAGAGAGAGCGTCATCTGTCACCTCCAGTCTCTCTCCCTAAAACCTTCAAACAAGGTCAGAAATCTAGGGGTAATACTGGACTCAGACTTAAATTTTAATAGCCACATCAAATCAGTAACATCAGCAGCTTTTTACCATCTAAAAAACATTGCCAGGATCAAAAACATAGTGTCTAAAGCAGACCTGGAGATTCTTATCCATGCATTTGTCTCCAGTAGGTTAGACTACTGCAATGGCCTGCTCACAGGTCTATCCAACCAAACAGGCTGTAAAACAGCTGCAGTACATTCAAAATGCAGCAGCTCGAGTCCTGACTAGAACCAGGAAGTACGACCACATTAGTCCAGTCCTCAGGTCTCTGCACTGGCTTCCTGTGGCTCAGAGAATAGACTTTAAAACAGCTCTGCTTGTTACAAGTCTCTCCATGGCCTCGCACCAAAATATATTAGTGACATGTTAGTCCCATATGAACCAGCCCGGACTCTGAGGAGCACAGGGACTGGACTCCTGCTGGGACTCTGAGGAGCACAGGGACTGGCCTCCTGCTGGGACTCTGAGGAGCACAGGGACTGGCCTCCTGCTGGGACTCTGAGGAGCACAGGGACTGGCCTCCTGCTGGGACTCTGAGGAGCACAGGGACTGGCCTCCTGCTGGGACTCTGAGGAGCACAGGGACTGGACTCCTGCTGGGACTCTGAGGAGCACAGGGACTGGACTCCTGCTGGGACTCTGAGGAGCACAGGGACTGGCCTCCTGCTGGGACTCTGAGGAGCACAGGGACTGGACTCCTGCTGGGACTCTGAGGAGCACAGGGACTGGACTCCTGTTAGTGCCCAGAGTCAGAACTAAACATGGGGAGGCTGCTTTTCAGATTCATGCTGCTAAAATCTGGAACAGTCTTCCTGAAGATGTGAGACAGGCCTCCTCTCTGACAATGTTTAAAACCAGGTTAAAGACAGTTCTGTTTAACTGTGCTACAACTGAGGGATTTTATATTTTTATCTTTCTTTTTAATTTTCTGTGATTATTTACGATTTTAATGCTTTCTTGTTTTGTACAGCACTTTGAATTGCCTTGTGTATGAATTGTGCTATATAAATAAACTTGCCTCGCCCCGGTGCCTTGCCTAATCTCCCTCCCCCCTCCCCTCCTCTCTCCTCCCCTCTCCTCCCCTCTCCTCCCGTTTGTGGGTAGGGGGGGGGTGGGGAGGAGGGGGGTGCTGGGTGAGGGGAGTATGGAGGGGGTGACGGTGGGGTGGGGGCTGGGGAGTGGAGGGCGCAGGGGGGGTAGAAGGGGGGCGGGGGGGATGGCGGGCGGGGGCACGCGGGGGGGAGGGGGAGGAGCCGTGCGGAGGGGGCTGAGGGGTGGTAGGGGGAGGGGGGGGAGGGCAAGGGGGGGGCCGTGGGTGGCGGGGCGGGGGGGACCGGCGACGGGTGTGGGGGGAGGGGAGGGGGGGGGGTGGGGGGAGGCGGGAAGTGCGGCCGGAAAGGGAGAGGGGGGGGGGGGTGGGGGTGCGGGGCGAAGGAGGTGCAGGAGGAGGGGGAGTGGGGGGGGGTGGATAGGGGGGGGAGGCTGGGGGGGGGGTGGGGGTGGGGGGGGAGGGTGGGGGGGAGGCGGTAGGGACGTGTGATGTGGGGGGGTGCGAGGGGGTCAAGTTGGGTGCCAAACTGGCCGGACGTGGGGGGAGGGGGGTGGGTCGGGAGTAGGTGAGATGGGGGCGTGGTGGAGCGCGCAGGAGAGATGCCTGTTTGTGCAATGCGTCACTCCGCCGCATGGGGGGGGTCGGACCACCGCTATGCCCTGGTGCACGCACGCGGGGGTCTGGGTCGGGGGCGCGGGGGGGGGGCGCGGGGAGCACGGGGGAGGGAGCCGATACGAACGGGGGGTGGCGGCATCATCATGAGGCCGTGGGGGCCGCGGGTCTGGGGGGCCGCCCTCGGCGGCGGTGAGGGCAGTGGGGACTCGGAGGGGGGCAGCGGGGGGTTGTGAGTGGGGGGCAGGGTTTATCCCGGGGGCGGAAGGGGACGAGGATATACCGGGGGTAGTGGGCGGGGGGGGCCTGGGGGGAGGGAGTGCGGGTGGGGGGGCGCAGCGCCCGGAGGGGGGGGATTGTGCGGGGTAAGAATAGCGGAGAGAAGGTGGGGGGGCGGCGTAAGGGGGGGACCGAGGATAGACAGGGATGGCAGGAACCCACGGGGCGAGGGAGGACCAGGCGAGCGGGTCGGGCTGGGGCAACAGAAGAGGGGGAGGGTGGACGGGGAGGAGGTACCGTTGGCGGAGAAGGGGGGAGGGGGCGGGGAGGGGCGGGCGCTGCGGGCGGGGCACCCGGGTGTTAGGGGGGGGGGGGGGGTCCGCGTAGGGGGTGCACGGGGCTTGAGGGAGCCTGGTGGGGGCTGGTTTAGATGGATGAGGGCTGGGGGGAGCAGGAGGCAGTGGCGGGGGGGGGCACGCGCGGTGCGGGACATGGTAAGAGGGGTGTGGCCAACAGCGACCGGCCTCCTGCACCCGGAGCGGGGAGAGGGAGGCGGGGACGGGGGAACCGGCGTGTGCCGAGCGCAGCCCGCGCGCGGAACCGACGTGAGCGCAGGCCCCCTCAGCCAGGCGCACCGTGCGAGCCACTCACGACGGGACGCGCCCACCGGCAGCGCTCTCTTAATCCGTGGTGTGGCCCGCATGACCGTGCACACCTGTACGTGCGCCCCTCCTCTCACCCTGGGCTCCGCTTCTTAGTCTTGACTACCGAACCCCCCTGTCCACCTCCGTTTCTGCCATCCCACCCCGACGCTTCACTAACGCTCAGGCGGGTGCAGCGGATGCCGGATGCGTCCCACCCTGCCCCCCACACGGCTAGGCGAGAACCCGTGTGCCCACACTGCCCCCACCACCGCCGGAATGCCCCCACCGCGCGGCACCCACTGCGTTATACAAGCAGGTTCCTACGCGCCCCCCTACGGACGCCGCCTCTCCCCAGCCCCGCCCCTTTCTCCCCCCTGCTGCAGCACTTACCCCCCTCTTCCGCGGTCATCTTCAGAACGCGCTCCAGACACGAATGAAGTATTTAACTCAAATTTACGGGATGTGCTGAGCGCTCAGACGCTCCCCCCTCCTCGTGACCTTGCCCCCCCCCCCTCGCCTCGTCCCCCACCGGCCCCCTCCAGTTCTGCGCTCCTCCTCTCCGCCCCCTTCATGCCCCCGCTGGGCACCTACATGCCAACACCGCGCGATTGCTCCTCGCAGACCCGCCCACCACGCGCACCACGGTAACTCTCCTATACCCGTTCTGGACACTGGGGTACAGTCCACCTACGTCCGCGAACCCTATCCACGCCCCGCGGCCGGCCTCACGTCGTTGTCTATCAACACCGCGAGTTGCGCTCCCCGTTAGCTAACCACCCGACAACTCCAAGACAACACAGGCGCCGCATGGGGATGTGACTGTACCGGGGCGAACTCAGAATAAGGAGGAATACGACCCCCGCAGAGGTTCGAGGTTGGGGGTAGAGGCCGAATACTAAATGCAAACGCGGGACAGCCAAAGCGCGAAGCCGAGACGCACCGCGACGAGGCGAAACCCCGGATCGCACTAGCTCACCACGCAGCTTCCCCGGAGGGCCGACTGGACGACTCCACTAGGAGAAGACGACCTTAACAACCCGCAACGCGTCCGCAAGAAGGCGCCGACACGGCCGACACGGCAGCAAGCGCAGCCACCGCGCCGAGAGCGCGACCGCCGGCAGACGCCGCCGCTCCTCCCAGCGACCGGGCCCACGCGTCCTTTTTCGCCCCGTCTCGCCGCTCCCGCTGTCCCGGACCAACGTACCATCCTCTCCCCTCCTCCTTCCCCTCCCCTCCTCCTCCTCTCCTCCCTCTCCTCCTCTCTCCTCCCCTCTCCTGCCTCTCTCCTTCCTCCTCTCTCTCCCCTTCTCCTCCCCTCCTCCTCCCTCCTTCTCCTCCTCTCTCCCCTCCCCTCCCCTCCCCTCCCCTCGCCTCCTCCCTCTCCTCCTCTCTCCTCCCCTCCCCTCTCCTCCCCTCTCCTCTCCTCTCCTCCTCTCTCTCTCCCTCCCCCTCCCCTCTCCTCCCCTCCTCTCCCCTCTCCTCCCCTCTCCTCTCCCCTCTCCTCCTCTCTCCTCTCCTCCCCTCTCCTCCTCTCTCCCTCTCTCCTCCGCTCTCCTCCCCTCCCCTCCCCTGTGGACCCAGGACTGAGGCTGTGGACCCAGGACTGAGGCTGTGGACCCAGGACTGAGGCTGTAGACCCAGGACTGAGGCTGTAGACCCAGGACTGAGGCTGTAGACCCAGGACTGAGGCTTTGTCCAGTAACAAATGTCTGTGATGTCTTTTGCTTCTGTTGTTGGCTGAATCTGTTTTTGACAGAATCGGCACAAACTGAGCACCGTATCCCAGACAACCTTCCAAATGTCAGATGTCTTTGTGCCTTCTGGGTCCAAATACTGGGCTGGGAATTGGCAAAAATGTGACGATTCCATATTTGGGCCACAATTCAATATTATTGCGATTCTTAACATAGTGCTTTACACTTCAATTCAATATTAACGGCTTATTAAACGAGTGCGAGGTCTGTACTGAGAAATATCAGACTAATCAGAGCGTGTACGCATCAGAGAATCAAACAGACAAAGTATTGTGGATGGAAAATGTAAAAGACCAGAGTCAACTCAGAGAAAACAGAACAGACTTGAATATCGCAATACTTTATTCTACTGCATCAATACTTTATTCTACTGCATCAATACTTTATTCTACTGCATCGATGTAACTGCACGATTGTTTTCTTCCTCCACCACTTCTGTTTGTGCGTTCGCTCGTTGCTACATGTCAGTGTTTGTGCGTTTGTGTGTAGCCTTAACTCATTGACGCCGTTTGTCTGAGACCGGTGATTTCTGTCACTTCCCTCTCTTCGACTGGGGATTACAGGAAAACCAAAATAGCTAAAACCAAACGTATTTTTGCTGATGAAAGGAGAAAATCCAGTGTTTCAGATTCTGCTTCACAGACTTCACAGACTTTACTGCAGTCATAGCACATAATATTCTGTGGGTCTTGGGAATCAGTGAAATCAAGTTAACAATAACGGCTTATTAACCGAGCGCGAGGTCTGTACGGAGAAATATCAAACCGAGCCTTGATGCAAAAAGACCAAGGTCTGATATTTCTCTGCACAGACCAAACAAGCAAAGGTTCATAAATGTTTTATTATATGACTCTCGTCTGTGTCGTTACCAATGCTTTTGAGATATTTGTGAAGTATGTTCATGTCCAACTTGGTTTTGTGTGATACGCGCTGTGGACCGATTGTCATGGTAACGGTCCGAGATGGGAAAATATCAGAGCGGTAATCAGCCAATCAGAGCGCGCGTACGGTCCAAGTCACATAATAACAGTGTGTATGACCCGTGGTGCTGCAGCCGCCCTCAGCAGCACCGGGCCAGGACCCCAGACCCAGTGTGCGTCCGCCGCAGAGTCACACACTGCAGAGTCGCACACTGCAGAGTCACACACTGCAGAGTCACACACTACAGAGTCACACACTGCAGAGTCGCACACTGCAGAGTCACACACTGCAGAGTCACACACTGCAGAGTCACACACTGCAGAGTCACACACTACAGAGTCACACACTGCAGAGTCGCACACTGCAGAGTCACACACTACAGAGTCACACACTGCAGAGTCGCACACTGAAGAGTCACACACTGCAGAGTCGCACACTGCAGAGTCACACACTACAGAGTCACACACTGCAGAGTCACACACTGCAGAGTCACACACTGCAGAGTCACACACTGCAGAGTCACACACTGCAGAGTCACACACTGCAGAGTCACACACTACAGAGTCACACACTGCAGAGTCGCACACTGCAGAGTCACACACTGCAGAGTCACACACTGCAGAGTCACACACTGCAGAGTCACACACTACAGAGTCACACACTGCAGAGTCGCACACTGCAGAGTCACACACTACAGAGTCACACACTGCAGAGGTCGCACACTGAAGAGTCACACACTGCAGAGTCGCACACTGCAGAGTCACACACTACAGAGTCACACACTGCAGAGTCACACACTGCAGAGTCACACACTGCAGAGTCACACACTACAGAGTCACACACTGCAGAGTCGCACACTGCAGAGTCACACACTGCAGAGTCACACACTGCAGAGTCACACACTGCAGAGTCACACACTGCAGAGTCACACACTACAGAGTCACACACTGCAGAGTCGCACACTGCAGAGTCACACACTGCAGAGTCACACACTGCAGAGTCACACACTGCAGAGTCACACACTACAGAGTCACACACTGCAGAGTCGCACCACTGCAGAGTCACACACTACAGAGTCACACACTGCAGAGTCACACACTACAGAGTCACACACTGCAGAGTCGCACACTGCAGAGTCACACACTACAGAGTCACACACTGCAGAGTCGCACACTGAAGAGTCACACACTGCAGAGTCGCACACTGCAGAGTCACACACTACAGAGTCACACACTGCAGAGTCACACACTGCAGAGTCACACACTGCAGAGTCACACACTACAGAGTCACACACTGGCAGAGTCGCACACTGCAGAGTCACACACTGCAGAGTCACACACTGCAGAGTCACACACTGCAGAGTCACACACTGCAGAGTCACACACTACAGAGTCACACACTGCAGAGTCGCACACTGCAGAGTCACACACTGCAGAGTCACACACTGCAGAGTCACACACTGCAGAGTCACACACTACAGAGTCACACACTGCAGAGTCGCACACTGCAGAGTCACACACTACAGAGTCACACACTGCAGAGTCGCACACTGAAGAGTCACACACTGCAGAGTCGCACACTGCAGAGTCACACACTACAGAGTCACACACTGCAGAGTCACACACTGCAGAGTCACACACTGCAGAGTCACACACTGCAGACTCTGGGTTGTGTTGTTTGTGTAACTCTTGTGGCCAGGTCTGAAAGTCAAAGCTCTGAACGCTGAGGATTCATCACGGATCAGGACCAAGATCAAAATCTGGATTAAAACTTATTCATGTGGATTTTACTTTAAAGCGGAGAACATCTGAGATCTCTCCCCCATCTTTCTCCCCCATCTCTCCCTCATCTCTCCCCCATCTTTCTCCCCCATCTCTCCCTCATCTCTCCCCCATCTCTCCCCCAACTCTCCCCCATCTCTCCCATCTCTCCCTCATCTCTCCCCCATCTTTCTCCCCCATCTCTCCCTCATCTCTCCCCCCATCTCTCCCCCAACTCTCCCCCATCTCTCTCCCATCTCTCCCCATCTCTCACCCCATCTCTCCCACTCTCCCCCATCTCTCCCCCATCTCTCTCTCCCCCATCCTCCCCATCTCCTCCACCTCCCCCATCTCTCCCCCATCTCTCCCCATCTCTTCTCCCATCTCTCCCCCATCTCTCCCCCACTCTCTCCCCCCATCTCTCCCCCATCTCTCCCCCATCCTCTCCCCCATCTCTCCCCCATCTCTCCCCATCTCTCCCCATCTCTCTCCCTCCTCCTCTCTCCTCCCTCTCTCCCTCCTCTCCCTCTCTCTCCTCTCTCCTCCCTCTCTCCTCTCTCCCTCTCTCTCCCCTCTCCTCTCTCCCTCTCTCCTCCCTCTCTCCTCTCCCTCCTCTCTCCTCTCTCCTCTCCCTCCTCTCTCCCTCTCTCCTCCTCTCCCTCTCTCTCCCTCCTCTCTCCCCTCTCTCTCCTCTCTCCTCCCCTCTCTCTCCTCTCTCTCCCTCCTCTCCTCTCCTCTCTCTCCCTCTCTCCTCCCTCTCTCTCCTCTCTCTCCCTCTCTCCTCCCTCTCTCCTCCCTCTCTCTCCCCCTCTCCCCTCTCTCTCCCTCTCTCTCCCTCTCTCTCCCCTCCTCTCTCCCTCTCTCTCCCCTCTCTCCTCCTCTCTCTCCCTCTCTCTCCCTCTCTCCTCCCTCTCCTCTCTCCCTCTCTCCTCCTCTCCCTCCTCTCTCTCCTCTCTCTCCCCTCTCTCCTCCCTCCTCTCTCCTCTCCTCTCTCCTCCTCTCTCTCTCCCTCTCCTCTCCCTCCTCTCCTCCTCTCCCTCCTCCTCTCTCTCCCTCCTCTCCTCTCCTCCTCTCTCTCCTCCTCTCTCCTCCCTCTCCTCTCCTCTCTCTCCCTCTCTCCTCCTCTCCTCTCCTCTCTCCCTCCTCCTCTCTCCTCTCTCCTCCCTCTCTCCTCCTCTCTCCTCTCCTCCCTCTCCCCTCTCCTCCCTCTCTCTCCTCTCCTCCCCTCTCCTCTCTCCCTCTCCTCTCCCCTCTCTCTCCTCCCTCTCCTCTCTCCCTCTCTCTCCTCTCTCCTCCCTCTCTCCTCCCTCTCCTCTCTCCTCCCTCCTCCTCTCCCTCTCCTCTCCCCTCTCTCTCCCTCTCTCCTCCCCTCCTCTCTCCTCTCCTCCTCTCTCTCCCTCTCTCTCCTCTCCTCCTCTCCTCTCCTCCTCTCCCTCTCTCCTCCCTCCTCTCTCCCTCTCTCTCCCTCCTCCTCTCTCCCTCTCTCTCCTCTCTCCCCTCTCTCCTCTCCTCTCCTCCTCTCTCCTCCTCTCCCTCCTCTCCTCCCTCTCTCTCCCTCTCTCTCCTCCTCTCTCCTCTCCTCTCTCTCCCTCTCTCCCTCTCCTCTCTCCTCCCTCTCCTCTCCTCTCTCTCCCTCTCCTCTCCCTCCTCTCCTCTCCTCTCTCCCCTCTCCTCCCTCTCTCTCCTCTCTCCTCCTCTCCTCCTCTCCTCCCTCCTCTCTCCTCTCTCTCCCTCTCTCCCTCCTCTCTCCCTCTCCTCTCTCTCTCCCCCTCTCTCCTCCCTCTCCTCTCTCCCTCTCTCCTCCCTCTCCTCTCCCTCCTCTCCCTCCTCTCTCCCTCTCCTCTCTCCTCTCTCTCCCTCTCTCCCTCCTCTCCTCCTCTCCTCTCCCTCCTCTCCTCTCTCCTCCCTCTCCTCCCTCCTCTCCTCTCTCCCTCTCTCTCCCTCTCCTCTCCTCCCTCTCCTCCTCCTCTCCTCTCTCCCTCTCCTCTCCCTCTCTCTCCTCCTCCCTCTCCTCCTCCCTCTCCTCCCCTCTCTCTCTCCTCCTCTCCTCTCTCTCCCCTCTCCTCTCCCTCTCTCCTCCTCTCCCTCCTCTCTCCCTCCTCCCTCTCCCTCCTCTCTCTCCCTCCTCTCTCCTCCTCCTCTCCTCTCTCCCTCCTCTCTCCTCCCTCTCTCTCCCTCCTCTCCCTCTCTCCTCCCCTCTCTCCTCCTCTCCTCCCTCCTCTCTCCTCTCTCTCTCCCTCTCCTCTCTCCTCCTCTCTCTCTCCCTCCTCTCTCCCTCTCTCTCCCTCTCTCTCCCCCTCTCTCTCCCCTCTCTCTCCTCTCTCCCCTCCTCTCCCTCCTCTCCCTCTCTCCTCCCTCTCTCCCTCCTCCTCTCTCCCTCCTCTCTCCTCTCTCTCCTCTCTCTCCCTCTCTCCTCTCCTCCTCTCTCCCTCCTCTCCCCTCTCTCCTCTCCTCTCTCTCCCCTCCTCTCTCCTCTCTCCCTCTCTCTCCCTCTCTCCTCTCCCCTCTCTCTCCCTCTCTCCTCTCTCTCCCTCTCTCCCTCTCTCCTCTCCTCCTCTCCCCCTCTCTCTCCTCTCCTCCCTCTCCTCTCTCTCCCTCTCTCTCCCTCTCCCTCCTCCTCTCTCTCCCCTCTCTCCTCCCTCTCTCTCCCCTCCTCCTCCTCTCTCCTCCCTCTCTCTCCCTCTCCTCCTCTCTCTCCCTCCCTCTCTCCTCCTCTCTCCTCTCTCCCTCTCTCTCCCTCTCTCCTCCTCTCTCCTCTCCTCCCTCTCCTCTCTCCCTCTCTCCCTCCTCTCTCCCTCTCTCTCCTCTCCTCCTCTCTCTCCTCCTCTCTCCCTCTCCTCTCTCCCCTCCTCCTCTCTCTCCTCCCTCTCTCTCCTCCCCTCTCCTCTCTCTCCCTCCTCTCCCTCTCCTCCTCTCTCCTCTCTCCTCCCTCTCTCTCCCTCTCCTCCCTCCTCTCTCCCCTCCTCTCTCCCTCCTCTCTCCTCCTCCTCTCCCTCTCTCCCTCTCCTCCTCTCTCCTCTCTCTCCTCCCTCTCCTCTCTCCCTCCTCTCCTCTCTCCTCCTCTCCTCCCTCTCTCCTCTCCTCCTCTCTCCTCCCCTCTCTCTCCCTCTCCTCCCTCTCCTCTCTCCCTCTCTCCTCTCCTCCCTCTCCTCTCTCCCCTCCTCTCTCCCTCTCCTCCCTCTCTCCTCTCTCCCTCTCTCTCCCTCCTCTCCTCCCTCTCCTCTCCCTCTCCTCCTCCCCTCTCCTCCCTCTCCTCTCCTCTCTCCCTCTCTCCTCTCCTCCCCTCTCCCCTCTCTCTCCTCTCCTCCTCTCTCCTCTCCCTCTCCTCCCTCCTCTCTCCTCCCTCTCCTCTCCTCTCTCCTCCCTCTCCTCTCCTCTCTCCCCTCCTCTCCTCCCTCTCCTCTCCTCCTCTCCTCTCCCTCTCTCCTCTCCTCTCTCCTCCCTCTCCTCCCCTCTCTCCTCCTCCCTCTCCTCTCCCTCCTCCTCCTCTCTCCCTCTCTCCCTCCTCTCTCCTCTCCTCCCTCCTCTCTCCTCCCTCTCCTCCCTCTCTCTCCTCCTCCCCATCCTCTCTCTCCCTCCTCCCTCCTCCTCTCTCCTCTCTCCTCCCTCTCCTCTCTCCTCTCCCTCCCTCCTCTCCTCCTCTCCTCTCTCCCTCTCCTCCTCTCCCTCCTCCTCTCTCCCTCTCCTCTCTCTCCCTCCCTCTCTCCCTCCTCCTCTCCCTCCTCCTCTCCCTCTCTCCCTCCTCCTCTCCCTCTCTCTCCTCTCTCTCCTCTCTCTCCCTCCTCCTCTCCCTCCTCTCTCTCCCTCTCTCCCTCTCTCCTCCCTCTCTCTCCTCTCTCCCTCCTCTCTCCTCCTCTCCTCTCTCTCCCTCTCTCTCTCCCCTCCTCTCCCTCTCTCTCCCTCTCTCCTCCTCTCTCCCCTCTCTCCTCCCTCTCTCTCTCCTCCTCTCCCTCTCCTCCCTCTCTCTCCCTCCTCTCCCTCTCTCCCTCTCTCTCCCCTCTCTCTCCTCCTCTCCTCTCCTCCCTCTCTCTCCCTCTCTCTCCCCTCTCCTCCTCTCCTCTCCTCCCTCTCTCTCCCTCTCCTCTCCTCTCTCTCCTCTCTCTCCTCCCTCTCTCCCCCTCTCCTCTCCTCCTCTCCCTCTCCTCTCTCCCCTCTCTCTCCTCCCTCTCCCTCTCTCCCCTCTCTCCTCTCTCCCCTCTCTCCCTCTCCTCTCTCTCTCCCTCTCTCTTCCCCTCTCCTCTCTCTCCCTCTCTCCTCCTCTCCTCTCCTCCTCCCTCTCTCCTCTCCTCCCTCTCCTCTCTCCCTCCTCTCCTCCTCTCTCCCTCCTCTCTCCTCCCTCTCTCCCTCTCTCCTCCTCTCCTCTCCTCTCTCCTCTCTCCCCTCTCTCTCCCTCTCCTCCTCCTCCCTCTCCTCTCTCCCCTCTCCTCTCTCTCCCTCTCCTCTCCTCCCTCTCTCCTCTCTCTCCCTCTCCTCTCCTCCTCTCTCCCTCTCCTCCTCTCCTCTCTCCTCTCTCTCCTCTCTCCCTCCTCTCCTCTCCCTCCTCTCTCTCCTCTCTCCTCCTCCTCTCTCCCTCTCTCCCTCTCTCTCTCCCTCCTCCTCCTCTCTCCTCTCTCCTCCCTCTCTCTCTCCTCTCCTCCCTCTCTCTCCTCCTCTCTCCCTCTCTCCCTCCTCTCCTCCTCCTCTCCCTCTCTCCTCCTCTCTCTCTCCTCCTCTCTCCTCTCTCTCCCTCTCTCCCCCTCTCTCTCCTCTCTCTCCCTCTCTCCTCCCTCTCTCTCTCCTCCCTCTCCTCCTCCCTCTCTCCTCTCCTCCTCTCTCTCCCTCTCTCTCCTCTCCTCCCTCTCTCTCCTCTCCTCTCTCCCTCTCTCCTCCCTCTCCTCTCTCCTCTCTCCTCCTCTCCTCTCCTCCTCTCCTCTCTCTCCTCCTCTCTCCCTCTCTCTCCTCTCTCCTCTCCTCTCCTCCTCTCTCCCTCTCTCCTCTCCTCTCTCTCCTCTCTCTCCTCTCCTCCTCTCTCCTCTCTCCTCCTCTCCTCTCTCCCTCTCTCTCTCCC